TGTAGCTCATACGTTTGTCCTAAAGCTACCATGTGAAAAAGGGCAATGTTTAAAAAGACATACAGCTGAACATATACAGAGTGACATATTCTGTGATAAAAGATGCATTTCATGTCTGTCACTAGCAACATGTTGGACACATCCCATTCCCGTGGTATAAATGATGATGAGATTCTCCTCTAGTAATGTTCTTGTGGTGCCGGCACATTGAACAAAAGCTCTGTATATCTTTAGTAGAGGAAGAGCAACAATGTGGTCCTTTAAAGCAATGTAATCCTTTTAGTTTCTGCCCCAAGCTTTCTCTGCAAAAACCCTCTCTTTAAAGCTGAATCAGAGCAAATGTCAATTTGGGTTTTCTGCAGATTGACATTTGCTCCGATTGAGCTTTAAAGAGCAGGTTTTTGCAGGGAAAGCTATGGAGAAAAAGAAAAGGGCAGACACAGAACTTTAAATTGCAGATCATGCCTGGAAAGAGCCGAAGAAAGGTAACCATTGGCGTGTCCTTAGTATGAGTTGGTTACCAAAGTACCATTGATTTTGTCCCAGGCACATCAAAGCTATGAGATATACAGTGGTACCTCAGGTTAAGTACTTAATTCGTTCCGGAGGTCCATTCTTAACCTGAAACTGTTCTTAACCTGAAGCACCACTTTAGCTAATGGGGCCTCCTGCTGCTGCCGCGCCGCCAGAGCACTATTTCTGTTCTCATCCTGAAGCAAAGTTCTTAACCCGAGGTACTATTTCTGGGTTAACGGAGTCCGTAACCTGAAGCGTATGTAACCTGAAGCATATGTAACCTGAGGTACCACTTATTTCAGGGTCAGAATTAGGTGTTTCGTTTTAATATAAGGGCTTGAACACCCTCGCACATGAAAGACATAGCTTGCTGTTTATTTTATCCTTGTCCTCAGGCATTTTTAATATTGATGCTGTCTTGTTTAAATTAGTTCATGATTTCATCCACTAAACCACCTTCCCGTCTTCCCTTTCGTTTCAGTGAACTCTACAAAGCTTTCCGTGATCAAAATGTTTCCCGCATCAGTATGGACAGACCTGATAATCCGATACATTTGCTCATCGTGAGAAATGTCTGGAGTGCAATAAAATAATAATGAATAATACTTTGCTTTTTCTCTCTCCTTGAAATCACTTCAGCACAAACATTTTCCATCATTTTGTATTTTACGTGAAAGTTTACAGCCCAGTTTTATAATTTCATAAATGGTTTTTAACTTTGCTATCATAATGGCTAATCAATTAAATGAGATTTAGAAAAATCTCCATGTCGGGATTGCCAATAATCTCTGCAGTGCCTCTAAGATCAATATTATTTTTTGCACAAAACCGAACTTATCCAGCCTTCACAGGCTTCCTCAACCTCGGCCCTCCAGATGTTCTGAGACTACAATTCCACCACCCCTAGTCCTGTTAGCTAGGGATCATGGGAGTTGTAGGCCAAAAACATCTGGAGGGCCGAGGTTGAGGAAGCCTGCTTCAAAATGTGTCCTCATTTCCTTTTTTCTGTCTGAATTCCCTTTTGAAGGGAAGTATCAATAAGTCCACCACTCTTTCTTTTCTTTTCTAAGCTCTTTCGTCTTCAAGCAGTTCACAAGCAGCGATCTCTTCTACTTTGCTTAGACCTCACCTGAAATATTGCTTCCACTTCTGGACACTACAGATTAAAAAGGATAGACAACAGGAACATGTCCAGAGGAGGAGGATGAAGATAGTGAGGAGCCTGGAGACCCAAGTACAGTGGTAAAGGTAAAGGTACCCCTGCCCGTACGGGCCAGTCTTGACAGACTCTAGGGTTGTGCGCCCATCTCACTTAAGAGGCCGGGGGCCAGCGCTGTCCGGAGACACTTCCAGGTCACGTGGCCAGCGTGACAAAGCTGCATCTGGCGAGCCAGCGCAGCACACGGAAACGCCGTTTACCTTCCCGCTGTAAAGCGGTACCTATTTATCTACTTGCACTTAGGGGTGCTTTCGAACAGCTAGGTGGGCAGGAGCTGGGACCGAAAGACGGGAGCTCACCCCGCTGTGGGGATTCGAACCGCTGACCATGCGATCGGCAAGCCCTAGGCGCTGAGGTTTTACCCACAGCGCCACCCGCGTCCCTTTTTAAGTACAGTGGTACCTCGGGTTAAGAACTTAATTTGTTCTGGAGGTCCGTTCTTAACCTGAAACTGTTCTTAATCTGAAGCAGCACTTTAGCTAATGGGGCCTCCCGCTGCTGCCATGCCGCCGGAGCACGATTTCTGTTCTCATCCTGAAGCAAAGTTCTTAACCCGGTACTATTTCTGGGTTAGCGGAGTCTGTAACCTGAAGCGTCTGTAACCTGAAGTGTCTGTAACCCGAGGTACCACTGTATTGCACTTCTTAATGCATGCCAGCCTTCCTTCTGGATCGTGTTAGCGAACACCTTTTACCCAAATACAGTGGCACCTCGGATTAAGTACAGTGGTACCTCGGGTTACATACACACCTCCACACACCCCGAGATCCTTGTCTTGCCCTGCCTGCCACCAGGGGCTCTGGACCCCGGGGTGTGACCTGGCCCCGATGCTGCATCCCTAGCCCCCTTGCTGAATGGCCACCCACGGAGACGGGCAAGGGGTGACCCCAGCATGGCTTGGCCGGGCATTCCTTCATTGTGGGTGTCGAGGGGATTCACCTGCCAAGGGCTGTGTCGGCCGGTTGGGCTCCCCCCTACGCAGGCAGGCTGGTGGCACAGCGTGGCCCGTTGACTCCAGTGGCGAAGGCTGGGCTGGCTCCGCTCACCCTCCACACCCCGCCACTGCTCACACGTGCCCCGGGCACCGGCAAATGCTGCTATGCCACTGAAATACATGCCTTGTTCCAAGCGTAAGTAGGCAGCTGAGCAGCCACGCTCTTGAGAGCCCAATTGAAGCATGAAACTGGTTACACCGAACAATGCACAAGCAAGAATGCTGTCTTCCAAACTCATAAATCAGGCCTGAGTTTAGGTTTCTACCTTGCCCGACTTCTCTGACTTCCCTCTATCCTCAATTTTACTGCAGTGCATCCGTGGGGAGCAGGTAAAGTTCACCTGCCCTTTCCTCTCTCTCACTGCTTATATTCAGCACAGCTGCTAGACATGTGGATGTAGGCGAGGAGAGGCGAAGTCCGCGTGTCTCGATTCTCTTCTCCAGGCTATGCTGGAATTGAGAGAGAGGAAGGAAGTGGGGGCTGGCCAGAGGGGCGGCCGATGCCCCAACCATGAAGGCAGGGGCATGCAGAGACTGAAGGGGGGCACATTGGTATCCAAGCATCACAGATCATGGGGGCAAGCTGCGGCCAAAGGGGTGTGTGTGTGTGTGTCTGCTGCTTAGGCTTTCCTGGCAGAGCAAAGGAAAGAGGAGTGCTTAGGTGTTGCTGGGGACAAAATGGTCTCTCACAGACCCCCTACTTGTGACACTATTTGGCTGGGCCTTTGGGATGTATTGATGGAACCAAGGCGGAGCCCCTTGGGCATGGAAAGTGGGCAGAAGGGGTAATGGCAATAGCTAAATAAAAAGCAGGGCTGGCCCACCCATTAGACAAAGTGAGGGAAGTGGGTGGCGCTGTGGTCTAAACCACTGAGCCTCTTGGGCTTGCTGATCAAAAGGTCGGCGGTTCGAATCCCTGTGACGGGGTGAGCTCCCGTTGCTCAGTCCCTGCTCCTGCCAACCTAGCAGTTCAAAAGCACGCCAAAGTGCAAGTAGATAAATAGGTACGGCTGTGGCAGGAAGGTAAACGGTGTTTCCGTGTGCTCTGCTTTCCATCACATGAATAGGACCTGTTCACTTTTTGAATAAGAAGAATTCTATGTCATGGGGGTCGCAGTCATCAGGATTTTAGAGATGCTTAGAATCATAGAGTTGGAAGAGACCACAAGGGCCATCGAGTGCCAAGCAGGAAACACCATCAGAGCACTCCTGACATATGGTTGTCAAGCCTCTGCTTAAAGACCTCCAAAGAAGGAGACTCCACCACACTCCTTGGCAGCAAATTCCACTGTCGAACAGCTCTTACTGTCAGGAAGTTCTTCCTAATGTTTAGGTGGAATCTTCTTTCTTGTAGTTTGGATCCATTGCTCCGTGTCCGCTTCTCTGGAGCAGCAGAAAACAACCTTTCTCCCTCCTCTATGTGACATCCTTTTATATATTTGAACATGGCTATCATATCACCCCTTAACCTCCTCTTCTCCAGGCTAAACATGCCCAGCTCCCTTAGCCGTTCCTCATAAGGCATCGTTTCCAGGCCTTTGACCATTTTGGTTGCCCTCCTCTGGACACGTTCCAGTTTGTCAGTGTCCTTCTTGAACTGTGGTGCCGAGAACTGGACACAGTACTCCAGGTGAGGTCTGACCAGAGCAGAATACAGTGGCACTATTACTTCCCTTGATCTAGATGCTATACTCCTATTGATGCAGCCCAGAATTGCATTGGCTTTTTTAGCTGCCGCGTCACACTGTTGGCTCATGTCAAGTTTGTGGTCAACCAAGACTCCTAGATCCTTTTCACATGTACTGCTCTCAAGCCAGGTGTCCCTCATCTTGTATTTGTGCCTCTCATTTTTTTTTGCCCAAGTGCAATACAGGTGGGGCATGTCCAAAAACAGGTTTGGACTATGGTTCCCAGACGTCCCCGTTTCCGGGGGAGAGTCCCCAGATTCACAAATCAGTCCCCATACAAAATCCATTGAAGTTGAAAAGTGTCCCTGGATTCATCGGGAAAAATCTGGAAAGCTGAGTTTGGAGCCCCTGCTGCTCACCGACGTTGCTGGGACTTTCTCTCCCTGAGATGGGAAGGTCGGGGGGGGGACCCAGTAAAAACTGGGGGGAAACCAGGGTGTTTTTTTTCCTGGGAAAGTTGAAAAAAAAAACAGTTTGAAAATCCCACACACATTTTTTCTCTCTTCATTTTTTTCCGGGGGGAAACTGGTCCCCCCCCCCTGTTTCCAGTCTTCCCCTCCCTCTTCTCGGGCCGCCCTCCCTGCGCTGAGGGGGCGGGATGGAGGGAAGGGAAGAAAGAAAGAAAGAGAAGGCGAGAGAGGAGGAGCCGCCTTTCCCCTCAGCATCCGCCGAGGCAGAGAGAGCCGCGAAGGAGCGCGCAGGCAGCCTTCTTCTCCGCCAAGAGGAGCCAGCCAAGATGGTGAGGGAGGCCGGAGGGAGGCGGCGGCGGCGGCCGGGCAAGTTTCGCCTCCTCCTCCTCCGGCGCCGCCGCCGACTAAGCTTCTCTTCTTCTTCTTCTCCTCTCTTTCCCTCAGTTGCAGCAGCTGTGGAGGAGCCTGGCCGTGGCCGTCCTGGCCGGGACCGTCCTGGGGCTCCGCGACGCGGAGGTAGGAGATGCCGGGCGGGAAGGAGGGAAGGAGGGAGGGAGGGAGAGGCCGCCAAGCCGGGCCGAGAGAACTTGGCTGGTCGGGGAGGAAGGAGGGGCGGGAGGGAGGGAGCGCCGGAGGCCGCGGGGGGAGAAACTCGGCGGGCGGAGGGGCTTTTCCAGCAAGAAAGAACTTTTTTGGGGGGCAAAGGAGTTTCTCCAGGCGCCTTGGCTCTCAAACTTCATCCGTTCAGAAACCAAAGCGTTCCAAAAGCAAGGCGCGCTTTCCCATAGAAAGGAATGCAAAACGGAGGAATCCGGTCCAGACCTTGGAAAACAACCCCTCCCACAGCAGCTGAGCAGGAATGCTGCCATCTGAGGAGAGCGGGGATCCATGAAATGAAAGCAAGAAAGGATGTACTTGCAGTCGTGCTGGGTTCCACACAAAAAGAGAGCCGCAGCGAGGAAAACGTGAAATAAATAGCAAAAAAAGACCTCAGTGTAACACTCAAATCAGGAGCATATCACTCAAAACGGAGCATGTTCGGATTCTGAAAAAAGTTTGCAAACTGGAACATTTCCTTCCGGCTTTGCAGTGTTTGGGTTCCAAGTTGTTTGAGTCCCAAGGGTATTCCGACTTGAGAACCAGGGTACCACTGTAGTTCTGCTTCCATGTGGAAGAGAAGATGGGTTTCCTTTCTTTTAAGAAACAGCTTTTCTTCTTTCCTTTGGGGGGAAGCAATCCTCAGCTTCACGGTGAGGTCCCTTAAGGAGACCTTGTGAGCGAAATGAGGTCTCAGAGGTCTCCTCATAAAGCCTTGGCGGTGCCACCACCTCCCTTCTTTTTAAAAATATTTTTTGGAAGCCCTGCTAGAGGATCATCTGCTTCTCCACAAGTCTTTTCGCTGGGACTCTTCTCTCTTTCAAAAGCCAAATGTTTTGTTTGACCAGGAATGAAGGAATGGTGTCTGAATCCCCAGAGTTGCAGCCTCCCTGAAAATGAGGTCAGAGGCAAAATATTTGATGATTATGGCTGGGAAATGTGGAAGTGATTTAAAGAAAATAAACTCAAGCTGCTGTGGGCTAGCGGGCGAAAAGGACAGAATATGCATTCTGGAGGTCGGAGGTCCCTAGTGGGCTGCCGGCTGCCCCTTTTTTATAGATTAACTGCAGATGGTGAATTCGGCTTTGTACCTGTAACAAAACAGAAATAAAGGCTTTGGGTAAAAGGTACCGAAATATGGCTCCCCAGTTCTAAGCGATGATATTTTCAAGGGCACTGCTACCAAGTTTAGTTTCCTTTGGATAAGAGAAAGCTGGGTACTTAGCTTGTCATTGTAATCTTTGTCCTGTTCCCCCCTGCAAAACAACAACAACATGCAAAATTATTTAAGTGGAGGCAAAAAGGGGCTTTTACTGCAGGGCAATGTATCCAAAAGGGATGACCCCTATTGCAGCCTTTCTTCCACTTCCCCTACCCCCATATTCTACCCCACTCTCAAGTAAAAGCTTCTCCAAGTGCCTGGCTGAATTCCAGCTCCCATTATCCTGGTCACGCTGATGGGAGCCGGAGTCCCAGTAACATCTGAAGGGCTGCAGGTCCCCCATCCCTGAGCCAAAAGGCAAATTAAAAAAGTTTTCACTTGTCACTAGGAAAACTTCAGGCTGGGCACCTGGCAAGGCTCCCTGATGAGAGAACCTAAATGGTCTCCCAAGGGTGTGTTTTAATGTTAATGACAGCTTTTGCAGGATGCTACTGCTGTGCCATCACAGGGAGTAGGAATGAGCCCTGAGTAAGCATAGGATTCCTCCCGAGCTTTGTTCCTTGTTCGCCATGCCTCCACCTCTGCCGACTTTTTGTCCTATGTGCTGGCAGTGCTCCACTGGCGTAGGAGTAGAGTCTTCTGCCTGTGGAAGAGGGCTGGAATGCCGGTGTTAATTTCCCCCCATGCGCAGTGCTTGAGTTCACCATGTGCAGAGGACTCGGGAGTGATACTGATCAGGAGGTGTAACTTGAGAATAAGATCGTTCTCTCTGCAAATGTTGGGATTCCTTAGTGCACTCTTAAGTGTGTCTTGCTGGAGAGAGTTTTTCTTGGCCACACTCTCAGATTAATCCAGCCGTCTGGTCTGCTCCACTGATCACCACAAGCTCCCAAATTGGGGAAATTGTAACACAGAAATGCCTCTGATGTCTTTGAAAGCAAGCAGCTTTTTCACCACTTGGTTTGAGCTGCTTTTGTGCAAAACCTTTCCAGTATGTAGCCAAGAAAGAATGTGCTACATATTGTGACCTCTTTGGCTGTAATTTGGCAGAAAGGTGCTTAGGAGTCTGGAAAATGTGACAGGTTGTGAGAACTCTTGGCTGTTCCTGAACAGCTCTGGATGCTGTTGTTGGCAAGGATGGTAATGGCAAGGTGAACAAGAGTGCCTTTGATCAGTATATTGCTTTATTTGCATAAGAAAAAGGTTTGTAACCAGAAACCATATAATCTTCCTGCCAAAGTAACAGTACATCAGTTTTTCATCACATTCGTAAAATGGTCAAGACCAGGCTCTGGACCTGTCTTACTGAGTGCAGCTATGTCTGCCTGTTCATGCCTTTGCTAAAATGGAATTGTTTAATCTGCCCTTAAACAGGAGGTAGCTTTTCTTGTAAAGGAAAAGCTCATGCCACCTTTGTTGGTATTCACTCCCTGGAGCCTTGAGTAGGCAAGCAAACATTGATCAGTGGCTGCAATGCATGGTGTCTGGACTTGGGTGAACAGTGAGTGTTTCGGGGAAAGGGATTGGGAGAAAGGGAGTGGTGCTCTTCAAATGTTCTTGCTTCAACCTCCCTCCTGCTGTGATGGAGACAATACGTCCCCTGGCCCTGTAGGGAGTTGCAGTGGGACTCTGTGTGCGCAGTGACTGTTCTGTTCTGTGTGGCCAGGCTGTGGTGCTGCAAGGGAGAAAGTCCACATGAAGGCTTGGCTTTCACATCCGTGGTTGGAATGGGGGGGCCTGGCACTCACCAGCAGAGAGCTTTCCAGCTGACCCTTAGGTCTCCGATGTGGAAGAAGCTGATCCCAGCTGCTAAGGGGAGGGAGTATTGCTCCACCAGCACAGTTTGGTCCAGACAAAGTTCTCACGTGTATCAGAGAGTTGGCGGAGGGAGAGAGCTCTGCAGTAGTTAAACTTTGCAATATCACATCCTCTTGGAATAAGGAGACAGTTACGAATGCCCTTATCCTGTTGACCAGTCCCCCGGGCAGCTTTTAGAATCGCTCACGCCAAGGAGGTCTCTCCCCTCCAAGGATCCTGTCTGTCCATTTCCCTGGGCTGTGCAAATAACCGCCCAAAGTGGGGGCATGACCATTAGAAGGGCAGAACAGGAAAAAAACTATCTAAATAAATAAATGAAACCGGATAAGCAGGAGCCAAAGTTATATCAACTAACTGACCTCTGTGCTGGCATGCAACTGGGGAAATTCATCTGTAAAGTGTTGTTCAAATTGGTGACAAAAGGCTACTGAGTGGACCAAGATGTAGCAGGACTTTGGGCTGCTTGAAAAAGCTCCATGGGGCAACTCTGTGCAAATGCAACGGTGGCAGAGAAGTGCTATTTCTTCACTGCCATCACTCCTACAGAGCTCAAACTCATTCCAGGTCAAAAAACATCCGCCCCACTTGTTTCATCAGGCACACATCAGTTAGGAGGTAGTTGTAGCGAACAACTGATGGAGGGACAATGCTGCCATCTAGCTGTTTTTCCAAATCAGTTCTCAGACTCCTCCCACATCCTTCGATGATGCTCCACTGCCATCTTTTGGAACCTGAGTATCCTGGTCCACCAGACCAAAGCAGGGCAGGTATACTGAAGAAGGACGTCAAAAATGCCAGAGTGATTGGTTCTAGCGCTTTTTAAAAAAAGAAAATGTAAGCTTGCAGCATAGCCTGCACAGTCTGCACATGATTATGATTCTATGAGTCCCATTGCCTTTACGGGTGCAGGACGGACACCGCAACTATGAGAGGTTGCCGTGACTAGTCTGCGCCCAAGCAAACGTTTTTACATTCTTTGTACACAAAGCAGCATATGCCACTTTGGGCAGGACTTTGCATCACTTGACCTGATGAGGGCATAGGTGGCAAATACCCAGATCTTCTAGATAGTCCCCCTTTCTGGGCTCAGAGCCCAGCACCCCAAACCCACAGATAAGGTTAAAGCAAGCCAGTTAGCTTATATCAAAGCAAGTGAATGCAAACATATATTCATAAACATTAACATTCCTGCATTGCAGTGGGCTGGACTAGATGACTCTAGGGATCCCTTCCAACTCTACAGTTCTGTGATTTTATATAGGAGCTCATCATTACAGCAACTATCAATTAATGGTGGGGCTATCTTGATTACCAAGATGCAGAGCTTCTGGAGCAGTTCGCTCTGGGTTCAACACACTGAGGGAATCTGTAAGTGCCTTAACTTCTCCAAAGTGTGTTAGCAACACACCTTGAATGTGTGTGTGTGTGAGAGGGAGTTTTGTGCACATGCAGGAATGTGGCTTCCTGTGCATGGAGATGTTCTGCTTTAGTTGCCTCCCTGATCCATTTTTTTTTATTTCAGGGTCATTGTCACTGTTTTGGTCAGAGGGCCAATAGTGTGTGTGGTCCTAGTAGTGCTATTTTGATTTTTGACCTGGAATTTTGATCAGTGCTGTGAATAAATTTAGTTTTAAAGATGGTCTTAGGAAGAAATCATAACCACATTTACTTGAGAGAGAGCCGCACTGAACACAGCGGAACATACACCTGAGTAAGCATACTTAGGCATGCATTGTGTTGCATGACACACACCTGCCATTAGAATCATAGAATCATAGAGTTGGAAGAGACCACAAGGGCCATGGAGTCCAACCCCCTGCCAAGCAGGAAACACCATCAGAGCACTCCTGACATATGGTTGTCAAGCCTCTGCTTAAAGACCTCCAAAGAAGGAGACTCCACCACACTCCTTGCCAGCAAATCCCACTGTCGAACAGCTCTTACTGTCAGGAAGTTCTTCCTAATGTTTAGGTGGAATCTTCTTTCTTGTAGTTTGGATCCATTGCTCCGTGTCCACTTCTCTGGACAGTTGTGTGTTTTCTGGTTGAAGTGGTAGGTGTCGAACACATGTGAGGTGAGGCTGGATTGCTGGTCTGCTCCTAGCTGGCGTTAAATGATATAAGGTCTGATCCTGAAGAGCCAGACTAGGATGGTGCAGGTTCTGTGAAGCTCACTGCTGTCTGTCAGGGTTGCAGTGATTATAAAATGGAGGAGAAGCCATGTAAGCTGCCTTGAGCTCCTTGGAGGAAAGGTAGAATATAAATGTAATGAATAAGGTGGTTTGGGGCCAGTTTTCTGGGAAGGCTTCAGAAGAACTGAACTGCAAAACGGCTGGTGAGGAGGGAAGAAAAACCCTTCTGCAGGTCCTGGTCTGCTGCCTGATCTTCACTTCTGTTTCGAGAGATCTTATATCAGGCTGGAGCTTTTGAGAATATTAAGACTATGCAGATTCAATGTTCTTATGTGACCTTTTACATAAACAATTCAATGCCTTCAGATTGTTCCAAGAGTGGGGTTTTTTTAAAAAAATAGTCTAGGCATTTAGCATTAGGTCCTCCTTAAAATGTGCTCTGATTTCCTAAGTTTAGCACATGGAATGGGTTTTATTTTTTAAGTTCGTAGCATTTTAATATTTTAGTAGAGGCACTGCAAGGGGAGGAACCTTCCAGCATTTGATTTTCCATTGTCTTTGTTGCATTCATGTGGTTTCAACTGTTTGGCGCTAGAAAAGTTTCAAAAGCTGCTAAGAGAGGACTAAAAACATTGCTGTGACTTTCCTTGTACATATTTGCAATATTGCCTTTTAAAGGGCATTCCAATCTTCTGACAGGGTTGGGGAGCTGCATGTTCTGCTGCGCTGGGTTTGTGCAGCCAGATCCTTTGGGAGGTTCTTGCTCCTTTGAAACAATGGCCTCAGCCCCTGTGACCGTGTAACTCTGGAATGCTCCGATTGGCCAGCCTCCTGGAGACTTGAGGTCTGGCTGAATAGGCAGCGACCTCGTTCCTCCTGGGGGTGTATTTTGCAGTTGGTTTTTGTTAGAAAGTATGAGAGCCAAGAATGTAAGATGTAAGATGGGTGGAGTTTGCGCTTGGCTGGTCTCGGAAAGTGAAGCAGGGTGGGGAAACATTTATGACAAGCTGGGAAAACATTGCCAGAGTTGGACATTTTAGTACAGAAGCTTTGTGGGGTGCTTGAACTAAAAGACTCAAAGCTGTTATTTCCCCTTTGCTCAGACTGTTGTGAAGGGGGTTGGCATTAATGCCAGTCTCCTTGCTCCAGGTCACAATTGTTGCTGTTGTTTAGTCGTGTCCGACTCCACGTGACCCCCTGGACCAGAGCACACCGGGCACTCCTGTCTCCCACTGCCTCCCACAGTTTGGTCAAACTCATGCTGGTAGCTTCGAGAACACTGTCCCACCATCTCGTCCTCTGTCATCCCCTTCTCCTTGTGCCCTCCATCTTTCCCAGCATCAGGGTCTTTTCCAGGGAGTCTTCTCTTCTCATGAGGTGGCCAAAGTATTGGAGCCTCAGCTTCAGGATCTGTCCTTCCAGTGAGCACTCAGGGCTGATTTCCCTAAGAATGGAGAAGTTTGATCTTCTTGCAGTCCATGGGACTCTCAAGAGTCTCCTCCAGCACCATAATTCAAAAGCATCTATTCTTTGGCCATCAGCCTTCTTTATGGTCACAATAACACACACATAACCACAGATGCACAGACCTGACGCTTCTGTTTTGAGAGATGGCTCTGACAGATGCCCTGTCTAATTTGAAAAGCACACCTTGGTAGCCTTAATATTTTCTGTGGTTATGCTAGTGCATCTTGGCTTGTGAAATTTTGCTTAGAGAGCAGAGGTTAACTTTTCTGTTTTCCCTGCTTCTTGGACCAACTTGTGCTAAAGGGTGGGGAGGCTGTGGTTCTCCAGATGTTGTTGGATTGCAACTCCCCTTAGCCCCAGCCAGCATGGCTGACAACATCTGGAGGGCCACCCCTTCCCCACCCCGACTACTTGGCTTGTCATGGCCCATCCTCTCAAAGTGGCCTTTTGCCAACAGGAGCCAAAGCCTAGCGCTTTAACTGCTGTGCTTCCCAATGAATAAAAAAGACATCCTTTGTTCAATTTTAATTTTGAAAAAGATATATTAGGACAGCAGCAGATCGGATTGATGGAAAAGCTGCAACATTTAAAGATGTGCATGTAACCGCGTAGTTTAGAATCCATTTTCTGGCAAAGGCACTGAGAAGGTGTCAATAACTTTTTGATTGACACCTGCCAGCTAAAGTCAACAAATCGCCCACAAAGGCCTGTTCAATCTGCTAGTGATCTGTGGCTCTTCTGATATTTCTGGAACTTTTAAGATCTGTGAGAAGGTTGCAGTTATTGGTTGCGGTTTGTGGTTTTTACCTCTTAAAGTTTTTCTTTCATTGTTGGCCACCCATAACTTTTATTATTGGGCAGGATATCTATGTAGTAGCTAAATAAAAGGCACAGTCTTTATCTGAAGAAGGCTTCTCTCCCCCCCCCCAACTATTTTTTTTCTTTTATGCCTTGCAGGAAGAGCCGATGAGCAAATCTAAAATCTGTGCTAATGTGTTCTGTGGGGCTGGCCGGGAGTGTGCTGTGACAGAGAAGAGTGAGCCGACTTGTCTCTGCATTGAGGTAAGCGAAGTCCTGGGACCGCTGAGATCAAAGGCTGATGTCACCCCAAATGTGGAGAACCAGCATGCCTAGTGGTAGTAGCTGATGTGTGCTCCCTCCTGCTTCCTCTGTGGTCCTTGGGATTTTCTGCACAGCCTTCTTGGTTTGTTGCATGTACAGCAGCACCTCGGGTTACATACACCTTGGGTTACAGACACTTCAAGTTACAGACTCCAGTAACCTGGAAGTAGTACCTTGGGTTAAGAACTTTGCCCCAGGATGAGAACGGAAATCGTGTGCCGGTGGAACGGTGGCAGTGGGAGGCCCCATTAGCTAAAGTGGTACCTCAGGTTAAGAAGGGTTTCAGGTTAAGAATGGACCTCCGAAACAAATTAAGTTCTTAACCCGAGGTACCACTGTATGCTTCTTTTCTGCATCGATGACTCATGTCTTCTTTCAAGGTAGCTCTTTCATAGCAGCAACATCACATTTCCTGAGCACTTAACATCCTATTATGCTGCTTCCCCCCAAATCATTTTGGTCTTCTGGCTGGTATGTGGAGTATACTTAGCAAGCCGTCATAAGCACCTATTTGATGTAGCCTGTGACTATGATTATCATTATTAGTTGTTGTTTCACTAATGTAGATTTCCCTAATGAGCATTTGCCCACAGTATATATTGCCCACATTATAGCAGGAGGCGACAGAAGAAGAGGAGGGAGAAGATGTAAATAAGCCCAAATAGGGGGAGACGAATGCTTTCAGTTCATTAAGTTACATGTGGTGGGGCTTAGTTTTCCACAAAGGATGAGAACTAAAGCAATAAGCCATGGCTAGGCAACCTAAGACCCGGGGGCCGGATCCGGCTCGATCGCCTTCTCAGTCCGGCCTGCAGATGGTCCGGGAATCAGTGTGTTTTTACATGAGTAGAATGTGTGCTTTTATTTAAAATGCATCTCTGGGTTATTTGTGGGGCACAGGAATTCGTTCATTCCCCCTCCCCAAAAAAATATAGTCCGCCCCCCACAAGGTCTGAGGGACAGTGGACTGGCCCCCTGCTGAAAAAGTTTGCTGACCCCTGCAATAAGCTAAAACAGGGATAACCAGTGCTTTTTTTCTTTAAAAAATGTTTAGGGGTACTCACATTTTTATTCAAGAAAATCACCATTTTATAGTTCAAATCTAGGAAAATAAATATAGTAAATGGACAAAAGTACAAAGATTCACAAAATGTTTAGGGTTATGAGTACCCCTGCGCCTCCCCCCCCGAAGAAAAGCACTGGGGATGGCTAAAGGCTTTGTGGAAGATTTTAGGAGGGATTTGAAGAATGAGAGGGCGGATGTCTTCTAATCAGGGAAGAAAAACACGCGGCAACAGTGTAGGCATATGATTTATCCTGTATGTCACTTGCCCTATTCAGGCCCTCCCTGAATTAGTTTAAGAATTCATGAGCTTTGGGACAAACTCAGAATGTAAAGTTCATCTCATCAAAACTTAGACATTTCTGGATCCTTTGTTTCTGTTTGTTGATGAATTATTTATTTGTGCATTGGAACCCTTGATCTGACTACATCTCCCCACTGTGGTGCCAATCCAAATTGGACCCCACATGTCTGCTATTTGTAGCGGGTGGGGAAGTTCCCACTATTCAGGAAGGAAAATCCTGCACTCGGGCTGTTAAATAGTGGGTAGACATGGCAGACGACACAGCAATTTCTCCAAAGCAGCTCTTTATTTGTAAGCTGGAACAGAACTGAACAGCAAACAGCTCAGCCGGCCTGCTTTTATAGGCCGCCAGCTATCAACATTGTAGCAACAACAACCCAGGGTTACCCGCCTAAAATAACTGACGTGGACCTGAGTGAAAACTATCTACAGTATCCCCCTGCTGGCCCACGTTGAGAACTTCAGTACATAACACGGGCAAGCTGTGATTTATGTAAGCTGTAGTTTGGGCTTCCCTCTCAAGCCCTCCTAATTTATATTGCCTGTGTGAAAGTGCTTATCTTTATGCCCTGTGTGTCTCCTCCCACCTTTAGAGCCTAGTTATATTGGATCTGTCTTTTTCTTTTTGTTGCTGTTGCAGAGATGCAAGCCTCACAAAAGGCCAGTTTGTGGCAGCAACGGCAAGACATACCTGAACCACTGTGAGCTGCATCGTGACGCCTGCCTCACTGGCTCCAAAATCCAGGTGGACTATGATGGTCACTGCAAAGGTAAGTCGGATCCTTGGGGCTGGGGTACCCCTGGAACAACTACTTACTCCAGGAAGTCCTGGGTTAGAGGACATTCGAATTCAATCCAGCTTTGGGAATTCTGGCACCAGATATCCATTTTGCTTTTTCAAAGGCACATGACTTAATGTGCCACAACATTCACTGCTGGTTTCCACTGAATATTGCTGCTAAAGAGTGTGTTGGATCCTGTATACCTGAAGGTCCTGTATACCTGAAGGAGTGTCTCCACCCCCATCGTTCTGCCCGGACACTGAGATCCTTCTGGCGGTTCCCTCACTGCGAGAAGTGAGGTTACAGGGGACCAGGCAGAGGGCCTTCTTGGTGGTGGCGCCCACCCTGTGGAACACCCTCCCTTCAGATGTGAAGGAAATAAGCAGCTATCCTATCTTTAAAAGACATCTGAAGGCAGCCCTGTTCAGGGAAGCTTTTAATATTTAACACTGTACTGTTTTTAACACTTGATTGGGAGCCGCCCAGAGTGGCTGGGGAAACTCAGCCAGATGGGCGGGGGATAAATAATAAATTATTATTATAATAATATTATTATTGGATGGCCCCAGAAGTGAGGGCAACAAAGCAAGGAGCCGGTTGTCACTGTGACATAAGACCTTTGGCCCAGCCCATTGCAGTGCAGCCCTGACTGTGGGGTGAAAAAACATTGCCCTCTGGTCTTGTGAGACAGAATAGTAACAAGGAAATAGAGGAAGATATGGGAAGTAATAGTAGGTGGGATTTACAATCTGTAGTCAGCCATACCAGGGATGATTTCCCTGGAGCTTGGCTGAGTGTTTTGTGGCTGAAATCGGGTGGAAGTAGGAGCCCTAGATGAACAGCTGTATGTGCTACTGAGTCCTGCCCCATGAACGTTCCTTGCAATACTGTAAGGGACAAGCTGTTCGTTTACAATACTTATATTTCCACCTGACCTCCAGTGCAGCTGACAGTAAGTGGGAAAACATCGTCATCACCATCATGTTCCAGAATCAAAAGTTGGGCAATACTTTTAATGGGGGGTCAACCAAAATGTCAAGAAAAGGATGTTAAACTTTTGAGTAGTTTCCTCAAGGGTTGCCAGTGCTGTGCCATGTGAGCACCATTGCACTTGAAAATGCCTTTCTGGATTCCTCTAGGCAAGACACCCAGACTCTGAACTAGGGCGGTGGGTGGGTGGGGGGAGCCCTATTGCACAGGGAGAAATTAATTGAATTGATGGGATGGGTTAGTTGAATACTGCCCCCCACCCCCAGCAATGTCTGGGGGAGATAGGAGATGTACTTCAGGAAAAGCATAGACCATTACAGTACCTTCAACCTGAAGTTTTCTTATTTCTTTCTGTAAATAGAGAAGAAGCCTGAAAACTCCGCTGCAAGTCCAGGTAAATATGCCTTTGCCTGTGCTGTGCAGTCTGTGGGCTGTTCCTCATGTTTGTTGTTGTTGTTTAGTCATTTAGTCGTGTCCGCCTCTTCGTGACCCCCTGGACCAGAGCACGCCAGGCCCTCCTGTCTTCCACTGCCTCCCGCAGTTTGGTCAAACTCATGCTGGTCCCTTCGAGAACACTGTCCCACCATCTCGCCCTCTGTCGTCCCCTTCTCCTTGTTCCTCATGTTACATTTGTTCAATATAGGTCAAAGGGAAAGTGTCCGAATGCCCTTCAAGTGCAGATCCTGTCTGGAAAAGTGTTTACAGGGGTTAAGCTACGTTCTATGTCTTGAGCTGCAGTATTTACTTCATGTGCAAAATTCAAGGATAAGGGAATTTGTGCCTCTCCCCCACCCCCCAATTTACCTTTTCTTTTCTGTTTTCAGTCTCAGTTCAATTGTAGTTTGGCTACTGTGCTTCACCAGGCTAATAATAAAAAACTATAACGGAAATGTGCCAAGTAGAATAGGAAAAACGAAGCCTAGCTGATTGACTGAGGATCAGTGGATAATGGCAAAAGAGATTTTGCCTTCTGTCTGCTCCTGAACTGTCACCTTTAATATTCTGGATTGAAGAAATAAAACATAGAATTAATTTTGTTCATCTTGCCCATTGAAAATAGCACTGTGCATAATCAGTGGTAGTTTCTCATGTGCCTCAACAGCAGAGGAAAATAAACATGGCCTATCACTCCATAAGCTGGGACTCTGCTGATTTCTGATCCATTTTCCACTTGAGATGAAGAGACGTTGCGTCGCTTCTTGCCTGCCATCCAGCTGTCTCCCCCACTTTCTGACATTCCTGCTCCAACTCTCCCCTTTTCTTGTCACTCAACAGTTGTCTGTTACCAGACTGACCGAGACGAACTCCGGCGTCGTGTCATCCAGTGGCTTGAGACTGAGATCATTCCTGACGGCTGGTTCTCTAAAGGCAACAACTACACTGAAATCCTAGACAAGTACTTCAAGGTACAGATGGCAGGAGAAGAAAAATAGAAATGGTGAACTGATGGGAGAGGCGGTTAGAGATTTGCTTCATAGTATTAGTGCGAACTTTCCTGAATCACTAATTTGTTTGGCAAACTAGCTTGTGAATATTCTACATTCTCACCTCTGCCTTTAGCCTTCACTTGCTTTTCTATATTTACAAAAGAGATGTGATCAGATTATAGGCTTCTATAATAAACCCTGCATTAGATCTTCAATCACGATGGTAAATGAATGAGAAATCTTCAAGTAAACACATGGCTAATTCAGAAGACAAAACAGCTTCGTGAGAGTCACTATCACCATATTATAGATTATTCTGGCCTGTATATTCATGTTGGATAAACTGTTATTTCTCAACAAAACAATTATGCCTGATTTGCAAATAAATGTGCAAGACTTAGCTTAATACTCTCAGACAACAGTGGGCCCTGGGGGTGGTGTGTGGAACTGTGTCAAGTATAATTCAGTCTCCCACACAATCTAAAAATAACAAACAGTGTTGGGACCCTTTCAATAAGACAGAAAATTAAGCAGCTTACTATGGAAAAAAACTGTAGAGGTCTGAGGCAGCGAAGTCAAGCTAATCAGATTTGGGAGAGAATTTTCCCCCCACTGCACATATGGCTTTCATTCATTCAGACCTGAACATAAGCAAGTTGTATCCAGCAAGTCACCCCCCTAAAAGGAAAGCGTCAAGCTGTAGTCTCTAAACTTCAGTGGCCAGCAGGGGTGCCAACTTGAATAAAATATTGTGAGCGCCCAGGGAAGTCCCGCCCTGCACAATCAACCACGTGGCGCAGTGCACACATCCCATTTGTATGGGAATGCCCATCAACTTTTTGGAGGGCCAGCCCCCCTCAAATATTTTATTGTGGGGTCCGAAGCCCCTACAGCCCCCTAGGAGTTGACTCCTCTGGTGGCCAGTATGGCCATATAATGCTTCGTATGCTGTCTCAGTTACAGTTGAGGTGATTAAGGTACTTGACAAATAAAGATCAGGCAGCAGGGGGTGGCGAACGGAGGGACTGTGCCCTCACCTGACTGCTGTTTGGCTGAGTTGCTCCAGCGTAGCCAGGTGGAGAAAGGGAGCAATGTGATGGTAGCTGGATTGCCAGAGACCAGACTGAGGATTACAGCTCTGAAGAGGAATGATGGGAACCTTCTCCTCTTCCTGCTCCTGACCAGGATCCTGAAGCTGCTCAGGAACAGTGGAGCAATATAGATTTAGAGAATTGGTTTGCTGAGGGACATAGTTCAGAAAACAACAGCTGGGAAGAGCTGAGTGAGGAACAGCTAGAAGAAGCAGAACAGGAAAAGAGAGAACCGACTCCCCTTCGCTAGAGAGGGTCCAGCCTATCTCTCCAAGGGCAAGTTGAGCTGGTAAGGTTGCTACGCAGGGGGCTCAGTGGTTGCGAGATCAGGTTGCAAGAAGGGGAAGTGACGATGACTCAGGGGGAAGGAGGAGGAAAACTTAACTGGGAGCACCTCCGCTCTGAGAATGGCTGCTGTGTTCTTTTGCTGTGATCATTAAACACTCTTCAACTGGTAAGAGACTCTAATCGCTTTGTTCTGCTGATGCACGGCCAAAGGTGCATCTCTGAAGCATGACACGAATGCTCACAGAACAACACACTGATGGAGTCAGTCCACTGTTCCTCCTAGTGCGCTGACACCACACTAGCCTTGCCACCACTATACTCCTCCCCCTCTGCAGCGATTCACCTGCATGGAAGTCAGGTGAGCGACACAGCCCTCCACGTCATCCGCTGCTACATTCAAGTGAACAAGTGGTGGAAGTTGTGAAAGGAAATAGCTAATGGTCCACGGAAGCAGCGCTGTTGTTTTCAGCCTCTCTTGTGTGCTGCTTTGTAGAATTTCGACGATGGAGATTCTCGCCTGGATTCCAGTGAGTTCCTGAAGTTTGTGGAACAAAATGAGACCGCGGTCAACATCACCACCTACGTGAATCAAGAGACCAACAAGCTGCTCAGGTAGCGTGGGGCAGAAATCAAAGCGAATGAGATTCAAACTACAAATGGCACTTAGTTTCATGATTCTTTCCCCTGATCAAATTGGGACCCGTTCCAGATCTAATTAGGCCCACGGTCCACCCCTCCTTTACACGAACAGAAGCAAAAACAGTGCGCTGTTAGCTTGTACGTATCACAGGGTGGTTCTAGTCATGATCTGGAATCCTGCTGATTCAAACAGTAGACAAATCTGTCAGAAAGCTCCCGTTCTTGGCCTTTGCCAGGCAAAAAACCTTCTCATCTATGCTTTTAAAGCAGCAAGACTAATGACCAAGTATTTGAACCTAACCCTACATCCCTGTTCTTCTGCATTTGCCTGTAAAAGTTTTTAGTAACTGCCAGTGATGATTGTGGAACTTGTCAAGTTACCTGTTTAGACCATGGGAAGAATCAGCAGCCATTGAATGCCGATAATCTGGTGGGCTGCTTCACATGTTCAGAAAATCCAAGTGAAACGATTTGACAACATTTCATTGTAAACATGTTGGCCTTTCCTGCTTTGCTGTGCTGTCTTATAGGCTGATGCTTGTATTTTTTGTGTTCCTTGCAGGGGACTCTGCGTAGATGCCCTCATTGAGCTCTCTGATGAGAATGCTGACTGGAAGCTTAGCTTCAATGAATTTCTGAAATGCCTCAATCCAGCCTTCAACCCACCAGAAAAAAGTAGGAACACCTTGTCTGCACAGAGAGAGACTGAGGTTCCTAAAAGAGTAGAAAGAGCAGAGAGATTTAGGGCTGGAAATGTGTCTCAAAAACCAGCCAGTGTCTTATCAACCTGTCTCTGATTAGTCATTAATCTTTAGTCTGCTCTATCATTATCCATATGCTATAAGCCACATTTCACACTAAACCACAGGTTTCATATACAGTGGTACCTCGGGTTACAGACTCCGCTAACCCGGAAGTGGTACCTCAGGTTAAGAACTTTACCTTAGGATAAGAACAGAAATTGCGCGGCAGTGTTGCGGCAGCAGTGGGAGGCCCCATTAGCTAAAGTGGTACCTCAGATTAAGAACGGTTTCAGGTTAAGAACGGACCTCCAGAACGAACTAAGTTCGTAACCAGAGGCACCACTGTACATTGAGACGATATTCCATTCTCTGTGATCTTTCTAGAATGTGCCCTGGAAGATGAAACCTATGAGGATGGAGCCGAGACCCAGGTGGAGTGTAACCGTTGTGTCTGTGCCTGTGGGAACTGGGTGTGTACTGCCATGACCTGTGAAGGTATGTCAACCAAGGAAATCTTGGATCATTTTAGAACAATCTCTCTTCCTCAGAGGAAAGAAATGTGATGTCTGGACCGTTGGCTTTTTGCTCTAAGTACTTGAATGCAGAAGGAGTTCCAGATCAAAATCCCATGAACCATCCTTGATCTGGGATCAGTTATTTTTTAACCTAGAAATTGGAAAATGTTGTTTTCATGATAGAAGAGACCCTTCTCCCAGTACCCAATATACTCCCAATGTACTATTCTGGTCACTTCAGTTCCAGGGACTACTTGGGCATTAATTATTTGAAGGCATCAACGGACCATGGGAATTGGTTCAAAAATGGAGTACAGTCGTACCTTGGAAGTCGAATGGAATCCATTCCAGAAGTCCGTTTGACTTCCAAAACGTTCGGAAACCAAAGCATGGCTTCTGATTGGCTGCAGGAAGCTCTTGCAGCCAATTTGAAGCCCCATCAGACATTTGGCTTCCAAAAATAGTTTGTAAACCGGAACATTCACTTCTGGGTTTGCGGCTTTTGGGAGCCAAAATGTTAGAGAACTAAGCTGTTCGAAAACCAAGGTACAGCTGTATAAAAACCTGTTCCTCTTTTACCAAGGAACCCTCCTGCAAAATTAGGTTACACTATCTTAGGAGATGGGACGCAGGTGGCACTGTGGGTTAAACCACAGAGCCTAGGACTTGCCGATCAGAAGGTCGGCGGTTCGAATCCCACGACGGAGTGAGCTCCCGTTCCTCGGTCCCAGCTCCTGCCAACCTAGCAGTTCGAAAGCACGTCAAGTGCAAGTAGATAAATAGGTACTGCTCCGACGGGGAAGGTAAAACTGCGTTTCCGTGCGCTGCTCTGGTTCGCCAGAAGCGGCTTAGTCCTGCTGGCCACATGACCCGGAAGCTGTACGCCGGCTCCCGTCGGGCCAATAAAGCAAGATGAGCACTGCAACCCCAGAGTCGGCCACGACTGACCTAGTGGTCAGGGGTCCCCTTTACTTTACTATCTAGGAATGAAAACCTGTTCCTCTTTTACCCCAGGAACCCTCATGCAAAATTAGGTTACACTACTTAGGAGAGCCCCAATGCACAGCAAACAGATAAACAAGCAGCTTCCAAATATATAGGACATGTAAACATGACTCTTAGATTGTAATTTGTATCCAAAGAAAGTTCTGAAAAGCCCAAATGTCAACTTAGCACTGCCAGTTGGAAACTAGGGAGAGCGACGGAATTTTGGTGGAATGGGGTGAGTGGAAAGACCGATCCCACAGTCAACTCAACATAGAAATAGAAATGTCCAATAGAAATGTCCACCCTTCCCTGAGTGGAAAACACTAATATGGCAACACTAATAACTTAGGTGAGCTAAAGAGGAGAGGCTGTTTGCTCTTTTGTTCTGCCCTTTCATAACAACCACAGGTGCATTTGGTTTGACTCTGGTTTTGTTTGTTACATTAAATTCTTGACCTTGACCTGTGACCTTGCCTGTACCCTCAGGGTGGTCCATTTCCCCAAGGCTGCCCATGGCAGATGAAGGCCCAGCGTACACTGTCCAGGGTCCAGGGTGCAAGGCAGTTCCTTTTGAGCTAGAGGCCACCATGTCTAGTGAGAAAGGAGAAAGCTCCTGAGAAACTTTGCTGTTGCATATGGCTGAAGGTGGTGGGAGCTCTTGCCTTTGTTCAGCCAAAGCTGAGGAGGACATAGGGGAATGTAAACCACTTACCCTCTAGATCTAAGGCCAGGAGAGCAATTGGGAAGCTTGAAGAACTGAAGAGGCAGGATAAATAGCAGGTGCTGCAACGCTGATGGCCAGGAGGGGGCACACAAAGCGACAATAAACTCTAATCTAATTAGAAAATCAGCACCGCACTGTTGCCTTTGATCAGCTTAAAATTTGCATTTATTCAGCTGCCCAAACCCCAGCTCCTTTTTGATGGCATCTTATTATTATGCAAGGAGAGTCCCTTTTATTATGTTTCCTCTTACTGATCCCTTTATAAGGGGGAGAACTCCAGCTCTTTTATGTTTTAGCCTTGTAACGGTTCCTTCTGCCTCTCTTTGAATCTCACTACATGCCAGGCATAAAACTGATTATCTGCCTTCCCTTCATCATGTACTTTTACCTCTCAGTCTTTGACTGACCCATTCAGTTTTCTCACTAACTGCTGCTGGAAAAGGCTGGTCTGACAGGATGACAGGCTGCCATGATGAGCTCATCAGCGAGAATTTTAAGTGGCTGCACCAAGTAGTAAGCAATTGCACCAAGTGGAAAACAGGGTCTAGTAGCGCGCTACTGTTTTACCTGAAGATTGTCCCAAGCTTGGGGAGGTTGCGTGAATGGTTGCAAGATACTTGCCAAGGGGGTGGGATGAGGGAAGAGAATGAGACAAATTGGTTTCATCATTAGTTCTTGGGTACATTAAGGAAGTTCATTTCAGTATTCTTGCTGCTTACCCCAGGGTTCTGCAGCTCCTGCAAAGACCACGAGTGGGCAGTTGGAATTGGGTTTTTGCAAAGGTTAGACTAATTTGGTGTGTCTATGAATTTCACCATGAACATCTCTATGATAGGATATGTGTGGAGATATTTCTAAGCCAACTCCTTTCTCCTTGCTAGTATTCAACCTCAGTGGTTTCTGTCTTCTGGTCAACAAAGCCAACACTTTGTGTTAAATTTGATGTGGTGGTAGAATTTGCTCTGATTCTGTGACAGTTGTGTAATCCACTTATCCTTGTAGGCAAGAACCAAAAAGTGCCTTCTGAAGGGCAGCAGCCTGAAGATAAGATGACTGAAGAAGAACTGGCCAGATATGTTCAGGAGCTGCAAAAGCACCAGGTTGGGACTGTAGAGATTTCTTTGCCTTGCAAACATGCTGGCTATATATTTATTTCCATATGTCTTTCTGCTGAACAGCTATAAGATTCTGTACCTATTGGAGGCTGCTGAGAATAACTAGGGATACAACATAACTCCAGCCAGTTTTGTTTTAGTGACTTGCCTGGTCACCAAAGTCAAGAAGGAATTTATGCAGGCAAATGGACAGAACCCCTTGCCCTGAGCCTGGGTCCGCACTAGAGCTTTAACACATACACGAGTCACTGTTAACATGTGTACATTTGTGCACCTTTGTCCACACATAAGCACTTCCTGTTTTATGCCTCCAAAATCCATTTTGATGTATCTTGTCAACACTAGTGGGCAGTGCTTGATGGGATGTATTTGTGTTGTGTTTTATAATTATAATTATTAATACTGCTACTACTACTATTTATTAAATTTGTATACCGTCCTTCACCTGAAGATCACAAGGCATTTCACAATATAAAAAAGAGAACACAAAACGCATAATAAAACAAAAACAAGAACAAGTCAATATTTCACAAACACATTTAAATGGCCGTTGAATGTTCAGTCAGCCTAAGCCTAAGAGAAACATTTTCACCTGGTGCCTAAATATATTTAATGAAGGTGCCAGGGGAGCCTCTCTGGGGATAGCATCCCACAAATCAAGTGGCCCTGAGTTACTAGTGTTACAAGAGAGAGGAAAACTTCCCTCAAGGGGACCTTTGCAGATGGTTCATTGTTCTTGTTTAGTCATTTAGTCGTGTCCGCCTCTTCGTGACCCCCTGGACCAGAGCACGCCAGGCCCTCCTGTCTTCCACTGCCTCCCGCAGTTTGGTCAAACTCATGCTGGTAGCTTCAAGAACACTGTCCCACCATCTCGTCCTCTGTCGTCCCCTTCTCCTTGTGCCCTCCATCTTCCCCAACATCAGGGTCTTTTCCAGGGAGTCTTCTCTTCTCATGATGTGGCCAAAGTATTGGAGCCTCAGCTTCACGATCTGTCCTTCCAGTGAGCACTCAGGGCTGATTTCCTTCAGAATGGATCAGTTAGATGGTTCATAGTTAAGCAGAAAAAGGTTGCTGACCCCTGACATAGACAAATACTCAAATCAGAAGTGTGATTCTGGGTCCTAAAACAACAGTTCTGGAACTGAGACATTTTGAAAATTTGTTCCAGCTCCCATATTTAGCATGTTTTCATCCCAGACAGATCTTAGTGGGGTGGGGGAAGAACTGTGTCCTGTGGTTAATATAAGAACTGAGTATATAAAGTGGACCAGATAAGTAGGTTTTTCTTTCTGTGGGCCCCCTATCCTGGCACCAGCTTGTGAAATCACAGTGCAAGTGTTAGATTTCTCTCCTTTTCCTTTCCAGGAGACATCTGAGAAGACCAAGCGAACGGCCACCAAAGAGATGTAAGCGAAGCGCGCAAGTGGAAGATGCCCGAAGCCGGTGTGTGTCGCCTGACTCACCCACCCGTCTTCCTTCAGTGCTGATTTCAATATGCAAATGTGTGTAGGACTTGTTGCCCAGTCACAGATATTTACATTGTATAGCAATGGGAGGGGGGGGCAAAGGAAAAAATAGGTTCTTTTAAAATTTAAGAGAAACCCTTCTGTATCATGGATGGGGTTTTTTTTTTACAATGAGGAAAGGAACTGAACTGAGGGCATTAGTGAGGACCACAAATAATTCCGGCTCTGGCACTTAGGGTGTAGCATCCCTGACACCTGAGCTCCTATCCTGTGTGGGATCTTGCTGCCTCTCTTTTGAGTTTTGCTGACAGCCTAAAAGCTACTACCATAACTGCAGGGACTTGGAAAGGAAGTGCCTATGGCGAAGCATATATTCCATGGGATATTGCTATGCCTCACGATCTTGATAACTGGCTTTTCTGTTTTCACACATGAACAACTTTCATCCCGTCTTCCCTTTCCTGTCCATACTCTGCTCCCAAAGAGTATCTGGCCGTTCAGACTGGTTTACTGTGCCTGTGTAAAGGGGTTCCTGGTGAACACAGACCAAATCTCTGCCAGAAGCCAGATAGCCCACTGCATTGAGTTCCAAAGTGACCTCATTTTCTTCCCCTCTCTCTTTGCAAAGGTGCTACAGTATATTTTCTTATCACACTCTTACACTGATTCTTTTTTTGAAGTAATGACTTTTAACTGAGCTTTTTGTATCTTTGATTTATAGATATTGTTTATAATTACTGAAAAATGCTGTACTTCTGGTTAGTGCTTTGTATTATAGCTGCATGTATCAAAGAAGTCAAATCCGTTCAGCACAAGGAGGGCCTCAGAGCATACGGGGCCCTTCTGGATTTGACATTTCAGCATCCTTTATGGTAAAGAGCCTTGGTTCGTGCATGAATAGAGCTGGATGGGGTTTTCAAAGGAGACCCTGTCTCCCACAGGGTCAATTCTTCAAGGAAGGGGAGGGGGAGAATTATTCGCTTCAGGAAGAATTGAAGACCAATCCTGTTACATTAAATGGAAGGAAATATTATGTCGGACAAACACGTATAATTTCTCCTCATGCAATGGAAGCAATTTTGGAACTGCAGTCACTAAGATGTGTAAGTTCCCGGTGCTTCTTTACTTAGGGACTGGTTCTGTGATTTCCAAAAGGACTCTTGCACAGCTGGGGTATCCAAGCAGGTTGCTGACCTGAGTGCTGGCACAACTTTTTCCATGCAGTGAAAGGAAAGAACCTCCAGCAAAGGAGGGAAGGAAAACACCAAGTAAAGGAAGGAGAATATGCAAACCCATCAATACATTGCATTTGTTGGTGTGATACCAGAGACTGTTCCATGCTATTTAGGAATTTTGGCAATAAAATCAGGGGACTCAATCTCCCCACAGTGGTATAGTAAACATCAGGAGCATTGTTGTTTGTGCATATCTTTGAAGAGAAAACTGTATCCTAGATTGAAATTTCAAGTCCTACTGAATAGCCCCAATCTTTGGGAATAAGTCCAAAAGTAATTTCCCCCACGTTGTTCCTCCCTGATGTAAATCTCCCCCAACTGCTATTTGCATCAGTAGTGAAAACTTCCAGGGATTCAAACACACTTTGACAAATGGGAAAGGCCAGATCCGCCCCCCTCCCCATAACTGAATGGACTTCCTTAATGCATACAAACTGTTGGAACCACTTTCTCAATTCTCACCACCATCACTTTAGGAAATATGGCCTGAGGATAGAGGGGGGAATTGTAATTAATAATAATAATAATAATAATAATAATAATAATAATAATTTATTATTTATACCCCGCCCATCTGGCTGGGTTTCCCCAGCCACTCTGGGCAGCTTCCAAAAGAATATTAAAATACTGTGATACATCAAACATTAAAAGCTTCCCTAAACAGGGCTGTCTTCAGATGTCTTCTAAAAGTCTGGTAGTTGTTGTTCTCGTTGACATCTGGTGGGAGGGCGTTCCACAGGGAGGGCGCCACTACCGAGAAGGCCCTCTGCCTGCTTCCCTGTAACTTGGCTTCTCGCAGTGAGGGAACCGCCAGAAGGCCCTCGGTGCTGGACCTCAGTGTCCGGGTAGAACAATGGAGGTGGAGACGCTCCTTCAGGTATACTGGACCGAGGCCGTTTAGGGCTTTAAAGGTCAGCACCAACACTTTGAATTGTGCTCGGAAACGTACTGGGAGCCAATGTAGGTCTTTCAAGACCGGTGTTATATGGTCTCGGCGGCCGTTCCCAGTCACCAGTCTGGCTGCTGCATTCTGGATTAGTTGTAGTTTCCGGGTCACCTTCAAAGGTAGCCCCACGTAGAGCGCATTGCAGTAGTCCAAGCGGGAGATAACCAGAGCATGCACCACTCTGGCGAGGCAGTCCGCGGGCAGATAGGGTCTCAGCCTACGTACCAGATGGAGCTGGTACACAGCTGCCCTGGACACGGATTTAACCTGTGCCTCCATGGACAGCTGTGAGTCCAAAATGACTCCCAGGCTGCGCACCTGGTCCTTCAGGGGCACGGTTACCCCATTCAGGACCAGGGAATCCTCCACACCTGCCCGCCTCCTGTCCCCCAGAAACAGTACTTCTGTCTTGTCAGGATTCAATCTCAATCTGTTTGCCGCCATCCATCCTCCAACCGCCTCCAGACACTCACACAGGACCTTCACTGCCTTCACTGGTTCTGATTTGAAAGAAAGGTAGAGCTGGGTATCATCTGCATACTGATGAACACCCAGCCCAAACCCCCTGATGATCTCTCCCAGCGGCTGCATGTAGATGTTGAAAAGCATAGGGGAGAGGACAGAACCCTGAGGCACCCCACAAGTGAGAGCCCAGGGGTCTGAACACTCATCCCCCACCACCACTTTCTGAACACGGCCCAGGAGGAAGGAGCGGAACCACTGTATGACAGTGCCCCCAGCTCCCAGCCCCTCAAGACGGTCCAGAAGGATGTTATGGTCGATGGTATCAAATGCCGCTGAGAGATCCAGCAGAACCAGGAAACAGCTCTCACCTTTGTCCCTAGCCCGCCGGAGATCATCAACCAGTGCGACCAAGGCAGTTTCAGTCCCGTGATGAGGCCTGAATCCCGACTGGAAGGGATCCAAATGGTCCGCTTCTTCCAGGCGTGCCTGGAGTTGTTCAGCAACCACTCGCTCAATCACCTTGCCCAAGAATGGAAGATTTGAGACTGGGCGATAGTTGGCCATCGTGGCCGCATCTAAAGATGGTTTTTTAAGAAGCGGTTTAATAACCGCCTCTTTCAACGGGTCTGGGAAGGTTCCCTCACGGAGGGAAGCATTCACCACCCCACGAAGCCCATCGCCCAGCCCTTCCCGGCTAGCTTTTATAAGCCAGGATGGGCAAGGATCCAGGAGACAGGTGGTTGGTTTCACTCGTCCAAGCAGCCTGTCCACATCCTCGGAGGTAACAGATTGGAATTGATCCCACGCAATTTGACTAGACAGGACTCTAGCACTCTCCCGCCCTGGCCCTGCTCCCACGGTGGCGTCTACCTCTTCCCGAATCTGAGCGACTTTATCTGCAAAAAACTTTGCAAAATCATTGCAGGAGATCATGTGGCCCGTACTGGGCCCCGATGTAGCAGGTGGTTCCGCTAAATTGCGGACCACCTGAAAAAGTCTCCTGCTGCTGTTTTCTGCAGATGCAATAGAGGCGGCGAAGAAGGCCTTCTTCGCCGTCGCTACCGCCACTTGGTAGGCTCGACACTGAGCTCTAACCTGTGTCCGGTCAGCTTCAGAATGGGTCATCCGCCACCGGCGCTCTAGCCGTCTCAACGATTGTTTCATTGCCCTCAGATCCGTGGAAAACCACGGGGCTGTCCGGGCTCCATGCAATCGGAGAGGGCGCTTCGGAGCCAAACAGTCAATAGCCCTGGTTAACTCCACATTCCAGTGGGCCACCAGGGAATCAGCTGAAAGGCCATCAACATGGGATAAAGCATCCCCTACCACTCTCTGGAAGCCATTTGGATCCATTAAGTGGCGGGGGCGGACCATCCGAATCGGTCCCACCTCCCTGCAGAGGGGAAGGGTTGCGGAGAAGTCAAGTTGCACCAGGAAGTGGTCTGACCATGGCACTTCTTTTGTTTCGCTTTTATTTAGTGTCAGAACACCAACATCCATGGAGGTAAACACCAGGTCCAAGGCATGTCCGCGGCTATGGGTTGGGCCAAAGTTATTCAGGGACAGCCCCATGGAGGCCATGCTTTCCACGAAGTCCCGAGCGGCCCCTTGTAAGGTCGTGTCGGCATGGATATTAAAATCCCCTAGGACAACCAAACTAGGTGTCTCCAGGAGAACATCCGCCACGACCTGAAGCAGCTCGGGCAGGGAATCCTTGGTGCAGCGGGGAGGTCGGTACACCAAAAGGAATCCTGTACTGCCCCTATTGCCCAACTTCCAGAACATGCACTCAGAGAACTGGGTCTTCCTAACAGGACGCCTGGTGCAAACTAATGACTTCCTAAAAATCACTGCAACCCCCCCTCCCCGCCCACAAGGCCTGGGTTGCTGTGCGTAAGAGAAACCCAGTGGACAAGCAGCGGCAAGAACAGGCCCATCTGCTTCATCCAACCAAGTCTCTGTTACACAAGCCAGGTCAAATCCTCCATCCATGATCAAGTCATGGATGGCAGTGGTCTTCTGAATCATTGACCTGGCATTGCACAGCAGCACCTTCAGGCTATGTGGGTATCCCTTGCTGATTCTAGTATCCGTCCGGACAGGACCAGACCAACAATTTTATAATTGTTGATTATAAAAATGTTAAAATCCAACAACCCTCAAAAGGTACTAGTCAATAGATTTACTTAAGCCTATGATTTCAGGGGATTTGAGCATACTTAACTCTAAACTGGATTGTGCCCCAAAAATTCCAATAACCATGACCGTGCTATTTGTCTACACGCAGGTGGTGCTGTGGGTTAAACCACAAAGCCTAGGACTTGCCGATCAGAAGGTTGGCGGTTCGAATCCCCGTGACGGGGTGAGCTCCCGTTGCTCGGTCCCTGCTCCTGCCAACCTAGCAGTTCGAAAGCACGTCAAAGTGCAAGTAGATAAATAGGTACCGCTCCAGCGGGAAGGTAAACGGCATTTCTGTGCGCTGCTCTGGTTCGCCAGAAGCGGCTTAGTCATGCTGGCCACATGACCCGGAAGCTGTATGCCGGCTCCCTCGGCCAGTAAAGCGAGATGAGCGCCGCAACCCCAGAGTTGGTCACGACTCAACCTAATGGTCAGGGGTCCCTTTACCTTTTTACCTTTATTCCATCCCCTGACAGCACAGACAATCCCAGTATCCCACAGCTTTAAAATCTACTAGCTGTCCCTTTCAGCCTGAAGTTAAGGGCATTTTACTGTGCCATTTTAACCGCTAGGGTCTTCACAGGGCAGGAAGTTCCAGAGCAAAGAAGCAAATGGAGCTGTGCCTCCGTTGTTTGCCATTTTAGACTTGGTGCACAGATAGTACACTGAAGATAGAAGTTTTGGTAAATCCCATAGATTAGGAAAAGAGAAACGGGGGACAAATCTTAAGTATGTCACTTCAAGCTTTATAGGTCAATGCCAACATCTTCAGCAACACCTAGAAGACCATGGAGAGCCAGTGCAAGACCTGGAGCACCAATGTACTACATGCATAGCCATAGCTTGTTGGTGGGGCACATGCCTGGTATGCAGAAGACACAAGCACAGTTCACAGTATGGATCTGTCCCAAACTGCCATGCTACGAACAAAGAAGAAACTTAACAAGATCCATGAGTGACCCAACAGCGAACTGCAAAATAAAGAAAGGGGTGTTTCTATAAAGCTAGAATCCACCCAACACAGGATGGGTGAATCAGACCATTGGTCCAGCTAGCTCCTGGGCTTCAGGTGAGGGTATTTGCCATCTTCCTCCCATCTGATCCTTTTAACTAGAGATGTTGCAGATTGAACCTGCCGCCTTCTGCATGCAAAGCAGGGACTCGACCACTCCTGTGCCCCACCCTCCTTATCCTGAGTCAGACCAAGGCTTCGTTTCCCTCAGAATTGTCTACTTTGGAATTGCAACACTGAAGAGGACAATCAGGTTTAATTGCCAGTTGTCCTGAAAGTTCAGAGCTGAAGGGCAGCTTGGTCTGCCCCACCCGTGAGTCAGAAGACTGGTGGGTGTGTGGGTGTGAACTGCTGTTTTGCATTACTAGAACCTATTGCTTGTAAACTGCCTTGAAAATAATCTGATTGAACTTCTCACGGTAAAATGATGAAGGCACGTTTGGGAGACAACCCCTTTTCACCATTCCACCACTGCACATGTCAAAACACAGCATCACTCTTATCCACTTGGGTCCCCACAACCTTCAGCCTAATCTCAGTCCAGTATACCTGCTGAAGGAGCATCTCCACCTCCATCGTTCTGCCCGGACACTGAGGTCCAGCTCAGAGGGCCTTCTGGCGGTTCCCTCCCTGCAAGAAGCCAAGTTACAGGGAACCAGGCAGAGGGCCTTCTCGGTAGTGGCACCCGCCCTGTGGAACACCCTCCCACCAGATGTCAAAGAGATCAACAACTACCAGACTTTTAGAAGACATCTGAAGGCAGCCCTGTTTAGGGAAGCTTTTAATGTTTAATAGGTTATTGTATTTTTGTGTTTTGTTGGAAGCCACCCAGAGTGGCTGGGGGGACCCAGCCAGATGGGCGGGGTATAATTTATTATTATTATTATTATTATTATTATTATTATTGACTTGCTAGATGACAACATCCTGAGTGCAGGGCTGCCTGGTTTGCACTGGGCTTGTTAGGGTAGAAAGCAAGGAGCCCAAGAGTAGGTGGAACCAGAGCCAATGGCAGGCGGAGCCAATTCTCGCTGTGTCCCCCATCCTGCTCCCGGGCAAGTTCTGCAAAGGCAATGCTGAAAAGGGGCGACCTGGCAGGTAGTACCACCCACCTGGGCTGGTGGTAAGCAAGGCAGGCAGGTGGGAGCTGACTAAGGATTGGTGGGGCAGGAGCTGTGTCTGGGCTGTTAACACTTCAGATTGGGGGGGGGGGGGACAGCTGGTGTGATGGAATCTAGCTCCCTCCTACCAAAACCCAACAGACAAAAAAGCGAGTCCCGTGTCTGGAAAATGAGCAGGCCAGGGAATACTCTAGGCCAGGCCCCAGTCACCACTAGAGATGGGAAGGTCTGGGGGGGGGAACCCAGGAAAATTAGGGGAAACCCATTTTTTCCCCCTGTACCCCCCAAGTCGTTTGTTTCCATTTGGAAAGAATGGGGGGAACAGTCCCCCCCCTAATTTTTCTGGGTTTTTCCCAGGCCTTCCCATCTCTAATCACCACCCCGTCACCACCTCCATGTCAGGAATGTATTGACTTTCTTATGGCAACAAGGATCTGACATCTTTTAATGGAATGGCTGGTGCTGTGCTTTTTTTTGGTAATTATTTGCATGGTTCTAAGTGCGGGGTGTGTTTTTGTGTGTGTGTGTGTGTGTGTGTGTGTATGTACACACATAGTTTTAATTCTATGTTTGTTTTTGAATGATTCCCCCCTATGTTTTTAATCTGCATGTTTTTAATTTTTATCTGTAAGCCACCTTGAGTCTCTTTCGGGGAGGGAGGGTATAAATAAGTATCTAATAATTTATATTTGATCCAGAAGCTGCCGTTAGTGCCGAATGCTACAGCACAACTGCTGGCAAGATCTTGCAGCATAAAACCCCTGGACTCAGATAGCTGCACTGTTGGCCGATTTGCTGCAAGGGCCAAGTTCAAGGTTGCAAATGGGGAGGGAAGTGTACAGACGACTCTCCTCTGTTTTCATTCATGCAGGGGGGTGAACTAGATGAGACTCGCGGCCCCTTCCAATTCCACAAATCTCCAATTCGACGACCCACCATTTTATCTTTTTGTAAACCGCTTTGGGGCAGTGTTGTTTTACAATGAAGCAGCGTACAAATCTTATAGGAGAAATGGTGAAAAACAAATAGGTAGGAAGGTAGACCATAAACAGGTAAGCAGGTAGAGAAAATAATAGTTTCTGCATTTTAACTTCTGCTCCGTTTTTAAAGCAACCTTGTGGATTTCCCTCACTTTCACCGTTTCGTCTTGTTGTAAACCGCTTTGAAGGTGATGTTGTTTTACAATGGCATATAAATTTTATTAAATAGATAGATAGATAAATGAGAGAAACAAGCAGGTAGGTAGAAAATAAATAGGTAGGGAGGTTTGTAGATAATAAAAAATAGTAGTAATAATAGTAATAATAAAATCACCATCATCATGTTTCAGTATTTTAACTTCTGCTGTTTTTAAAGCAGCGTTGCCGATTTCCCTCAATTTCACCGTTCCATCCTTTTGAACACTACTTTTGATTTTCCCCCCAAAAAATTTTTATTAGTTTTCACAACATTATAAACAAACAAACCACCATAAATCACAGCCTTATTGAAAATTACAGTCATTAACTTTGTTAAGTGACTCCCTCGCTTCCCCTCGGTTGGATTTCACGGCATGTCCTTGTAACGGTTTCCCAAATCCCAATTTTTATGAACTTTAACTTAAACATTGAACGCCACTTTTGAGGCGCCTAAACTTGAGGAGAAATCCCTCCAGAGGGAGGAAGGGAAGCAAAACGCAAAATTTGGATTAGTAAATAAATGGTTGCTAGTGGTAATGGTTAAGATAAAGAGAATATATAAGTTCAAACTAAGTTAAAATAAGAGAAGATTTGCTGAATAATTGATTAGAAATTGGAATACAGAAAGGGGAAGCATGAGGAAGTCGGGGAAGTAAGGTATAAGAAAATAAGATTTGAAACTACACTTGTTTTTTTTTCCTCTTTGTTGTTTGTTATATGTATTGTATTGTTATGTTTTGTTTTTGTTGTTATAAGAAAAAACCCTTAATAAAAATTTATTTTAAAAAAAAGGGAAGCGCGAGGCCGCCCCGAAAGCGAGGCCGCCCGGGAAGCTGTATAAGGCCCGCAGCCCCGAGGACGGAAGCGGGTCGGCCAGGCGCAGCGCAGGTTCCGGGGCCTCCTCCTCCTCCTCCTCAGACGGAGCGCGATGGCGGCGGAGCCGGGCCGGGCCGAGGCGGAGGCCCTTGGCGAGGCCGAGGCGGAGGCCGAGGAGGAGGCCTCGTCTGCTGCCGCCGCCGCGTCCCCGACCCGCCGCCTGGCGCCGCCGCCGCCGGCCTCCTGGCTGTCGCCGGAGGTCGGCCTGGCGGCGGGTCTGGGCCGGCGCTTCCCGGCGGGTCTGGAGGTGCTGGACGTGAGCGGGACGGGGCTGGCGGCGCTGGGCGCGGAGCTGCTGGAGCTGCCGCGGCTCCACACGCTGCTGGCCAAGAACAACCGGCTGGGCGCCGAGGGCTCGCTGCCCAAGGGCCTGGCCGGCGCCCCGCTCGCCCGCAGCCTGCGCGTCCTCAACCTCAGCGGCAACCGCTTCACGCGAGTGCCCGGCGCGCTGCTGGGCCTGCGCCGCCTCCGGAGCCTCAGCCTGGGCAGCAACCGCCTCCAGGGCATCCCGCCCGCCATCCAGCAGCTCAGCAGGTGAGACGAGGAGCAGCAGCCAAGGCCCGCGGGAGGGAGAAGGGAGACCCGCAGCGCAGGGCGGGCGGGGGGCGGCGGCGGAGGAGTCGGGTCCGCCTCTGGGTGACCCCCCTGGGCCAGAGCAGCCTTCCAAACTCCCCTCCTTCCAGGCGCATTTTGCGACAGGGAGTCTCAGTCAGGGAACCAGGCAGAGGGCCTTCTCGGTGGTGGCGCCCGCAATAAACAACTATTTTACTTTTAAAAGTCATCTGAAGGCAGCCCTCTTTAGGGAAGTTTTTAATGTTTGATGCTGTACTGTTTTTAATATTCAGTTGGAAGCTGGGGAAACCCAGCCAGATGGGCCGGGTATGAATAATAAATTATTATTATTATTATTATTATTATTATTATTATTATTATGAAAACGCCCAGTTTCCGAGCTCTGGGCGCAGGATTTCGGATTAAAACTGCAGAGTGGGAGGAAAAGAGGAGCTTTTTCTGCCTCCCCACTTCCAGCTACTATCTCAAGACTGGGGAAGAGACCCTCTTAGGAATATTAAGGGGGAAGGACTAAGCCCAGGGTTCCCAACGTGGGTCAGATGCCCCACAGGGGGGCCATGTGATTTTTAAGGGAGGCAATTCGAGAATGACTTGTTGTTGTTTAGTTGTTTAGTTGTGTCCGCCTCTTCATGACCCCATGGACCAGAGCACACCAGGCCCTCCTGTCTTCCACTGCCTCCCGCAGTTTGGTCAAACTTATGCTGGTAGCCTCGAAAACACTGTCCAAATATACCATATAGCAATATAGTCAACACAAAAAACAGCTACAATTTGTTGTTGACAAAGGACAGCTGGACATACAAAGGGCATCGTTACATTCAGTAGTTTAGAGCTGCATCAGACCTAAATCCGGTCCTGGTTGCAGGTTCAATCCCCATACGGGACAGCTGCATATTCCTGCATTACACGGGGTTGGACTAGATGATCCTCGGGTCCCTTCCAACTCTGTTGTTGTTGAGTCCTTTAGTCGTGTCCGCCCCTTTGTGACCCCCTGGACCAGAGCACGCCAGGCACTTCTGTCTCCCACTGCCTCCCTCAGGCTGGCAGCTTCCAGAACAGTAATAATAATAATAAACCTTCATTATCACTACACCACCTGTGTGCAGTGAAATTAAATGAGCCCCCCCCCAATACACTTAATTGCAAATTCAGGGGACTAACAACGGATGTCTGTTAGTATTTATTAAATTGATATACCGCCCTTCATCAAGAGATCTCAGGTATGTTTAAAACATTTGTTTAGTCGTTTAGTCTTGTCCGCCTCTTCGTGACCCCCTGGACCAGAGCACGCCAGGCACTCCTGTCTTCCACTGCCTCCCGCAGTTTGGTCAAACTCCATCTTTCCCAGCATCAGGGTGTTTTCCAGGGAGTCTTCTCTTCTCTTGAGGTGGCAAAAGTATTAGAGCCTCAGCTTCAGGATCTGTCCTTCCAGTGAGCGCTCAGAGCTGATTTCCCTAAGAATGGAGAGGTTGGATCTTCTTGCAGTCCATGGGACTCTCAAGAGTCTCCTCCAGCACCAGAATTCAAAAGCATCCATTCTTCGGCGATCAGCCTTCTTTATGGTCCAGCTCTCACTTCCATACATCACTCCTGGGAAAACCATGGCTTTCACTATACGGACCTTTGTTGGCAAGGTGCTTTGCTTTTTAAGATGCTGTCTAGGTTTGCCATCGCCTTTCTCCCAAGAAGCAGGCGTCTTTTAATTTCATGGCTGCTGTCACCATCTGCAGTGATCATGGTGCCCAAGAAAGTAAAATCTCTCACTGCCTCCATTTCTTCCCCTTCTATTTGCCAGGAGGTGATAGGACCAGTGGCCATGATCTTTGTTTTTTTGATGTTGAGCTTCAGACCATATTTTGCGCTCTCCTCTTTCATCCTCAATAAAAGGTATAGGGCAATATAAAAATTCAATTAGTAATAATAATACAGTGGTAACTTGGTTCTTGAACGTAATCCATTCCGGAAGTCCGTTTGACTCCTGAAACTGTTCAAAAACCAAGGCATAGCTTCCGATTGGCTGCAGGAGCTTCTTGAACTCAGGTGGAAGCCGCGTCAGACGTTCGGCGTCTGAAAAACGTTTGTAATCTGGAACACTTACTTCCAGGTTTGCATTGTTTGGGAGTTGATTTGTTCGGCAACTAAGCCATTCGGGATTCAAGGTTTGACTGTAATAATGATCGTGGCCGCCCTACCCCTCAGTTCAACTGCATCTCTTGTCAGGCAGGAGCTACCTGTCCCATCCTGCCCCCCGAGGTGATACGGGAATTGCCACCCCATGTGGCCACATCCCCCACACTTATGCCACCGCTCAGGTTCCCCACACGGCACAATGCCCCCCTCGTGGTGGGGCAGACGGAGGGCCACATCTTGTGCTTTAGCCCCCTGAGGCGGGCGCTTCATCTTGTCTCATGGGTGGGCCGGCTCTGTGGTGGAGCAAACAGAGTGCTGCCTCTTGCACTTTGGCCGCCCGAGGCGGGCACTTCACCTTTCTCATGGCTCTGCTTTCAGCCGCTCTTATGTAAAATCTCATCGGACCGTACAGGTTCTTTGCACCGTGTTCTTTCCAAAAGCGGGTTGTGTTGTGAATTGAAATTCTGAGCTGAGAGAAATCGTTGCTATAAACTTTTTGTGTCGCTTTTCTCTTTGTCTTCCAGTTTGGAGTTTTTGTACCTCGGAGGAAACTTCATTACTTCGATTCCACCAGAGTTGGCTAATCTGCCTTTACTCAATTACCTAGTCCTGTGTGATAACAAGATACAGAGTATTCCCCCTCAGTTGGCACAGTGAGTATTTTGAGCAATTTAACTGTTTTGAATATATCTAGCTCTTCAGAACCTGGTAACTCCGGCTTCAGCAGGTATTTGTGTGTAGGAAGAAGCATGCAAGGTGCTTTCTTGTATGTGCAAGCCAGTTGTGATTATTTGTGGTTTCACAGCACACCTATGTCACAAAACATATTGTGCAATTGTGTCATATGACAATCTGCATGCAATTTGTGTGCTATAGGAAAAGTCTCTAAATGAAATCAGGCAGCTTAATCACATTGATGTGTACTGTTAAATTAATGCAAAAATGGCAATACTGGATCTTGCATCCAGCTGTCTCCTTTGGATTTCTCATTAGTCTGTTTAGGGCTGTTTTGTCTATGCAGTTTTGCATTCTGTATCAGCCATGTTATTTTGACATCTTAGCATGGTTTGGAAATAATCTCATGCAGACCTGTGAAGGGAAAGGAGTTGTGTATGATCTGAAGTTTGAAGTGAAGTTATCACAGCAGCAAAAACCAGGATGTAAGCCATTAAATCAAAGCAGCAGTCCAATGCCCTTTGAACATACAAAGCGCTTTAAACATACTGCATATGTTTGGGTTCTTGAAAGGAATTTTCAAGGTCTGATCTAGGAGACATAGGCTCTCCTATGGAAAGCGTAAGGGAAAGAGGGACCGGAGGACTGGAATTATGGCATTGCCTTACCCCAGGTTTTCTGATGTTTGGTTTCCAGGTTGCATTCCTTGCGCTCCCTTAGCCTCCACAATAACCTGCTGACATACCTTCCTCGGGAAATCCTCAATCTGGTTCATCTTGAAGAACTGAGTTTGCGTGGGAACCCATTGGTTGTACGATTTGTCCGTGACTTGACCTACAATCCTCCAAGTCTCCAGGAACTGGCTGGACGCACCATTAAAACCCGCAATGTTCCTTATGTTCCTAGTGACCTCCCTGGGAATCTCCTCCGCTATTTGAGCCTGGCCAGCAACTGCCCCAACCCTAAATGTGGAGGTATGCCCTATTCCCTGTTCTTGTGGGACATTCCTCCTGGCTTCTACACAAGGATACAGGCACCAGGAGAGGACTCACAGCCACTTTGTTCCTTTTTACTGCCATGATAAGCCAACCTAAGGTTTGATCAAACACGTTGTCATAGTTACCCACTTTCCTTAGTGACCATGAGCAACATTCAAGAGCAAACCTTGGCTACAGCTTGTGCTAATCGTAAGTTTCGGCTTGGATGACATGCAAAGCCCAGCCTTGACTTGACTTAGTGCCCAAATTGTTCAGGTTTATTTCTAAAGCTGACGCATGAGGAACTAACTTGCTTTTCACATGTGAGGTTACTCAGTCAATTTTATTTAATATTAGGGCATAGCAATTTAATGTCTAGTACAAAATATATCCCTGTCTGCATAGGAACCAATGATAAACAGTGGACCCTCGGGTTACGTTACCGTCGGGTAACATAACTTTCAGGTTGCGAATGCGCTTCCGGGTTTCGTCGCGCGCTCTGCGTGCCGCACGCATGTGCAGAAGCAGCTCCTCATGTTGCGGATTTTTCAGGGTACGCCCAGACCCCCGGAACGAATTAAGTTTGTATCCGGAGGGTCCACTGTACTTAACAAACTAGCCCTCAGCTTTCAGTAAGGCAACCTTGCATTTTTCTTGCCCAGAAAAAAATAACTTTTCTGGAAGATAATTTGGAGAAATAGGTGTTAAATCAGAACTGTGAGAACTTCCTTTCATTTAGGAAAGGAGTCATCCCCCTTTTCAGAACAGAGACTTAGGCTGCAGTCCTATACACATTTACCTGTGAATAAGCCCCAGTGAAGTGAAGAGTAGACTTGAATAGAATTGTGTCAACAGTGGTTAACTGCAACATGAACCATGGAACTTTATTTATTTTACTGTTTACATCTACCTTTCTCCATCTCTATCTCTTCACCATTTGTTTTTCTCCTACTTCCTAGTAGGATTTGTTTTTGTCATCGGTCCACCTAGTTAAGCAGTTAGCAATCAGTAGTACCCCTTCACCTATTTCTTTAAAATACCTTCCCATCCTCAAGAGGGGAAAAGAGAATGGTGCCACTAATTCAACCTAGTTAGGATGGGTCATAGCCCACTTCTGCTTTCTGGCCCATCAGTTTAAAACCAGAGACAGCCTAAATCAGCAGCAGGGTTTTCCTGTTTGTTAGTGCCTTTTGAAGAAAGATAATCTAAAATAGCACTGAGTACAGTAATGTGTAATCAGCACAAAGATTTTGCTTGTGCAATAGGACTTTGCCCCCTTCCCCTGTGCACCCCTTCAATCTGTTAAAGGGGTTCCCCCTACCCCTTAGGAACAGATTTGGGGCGGATGCAAGGGAAGAAGAGGGGGGAATTCCTTGTGCTGACTGGACACAGTTGAATATTGCATAGGAATTAAACAAATAAGATACATGCACACTTTAACTATAAATAAGAAAGCATCTGTTGTCTTAAACTACGTTTCTTTTGCCCATAGGAGTCTATTTTGACAGCTGTGTCCGACAAATCAAATTTGTGGACTTCTGTGGGAAGTACCGCCTTCCTCTGATGCACTACCTGTGTTCACCAGAGTGCTCTTCCCCCTGCAGTTCTGCATCTCAGAGTTCGACTTCCCAGAGTGAGTCCGATTCAGAAGACGAAGCCATTGTTGCAGCGCGCAGGATGCAAAAAGTTCTTCTTGGCTAGGAGAAGGAAGGAAAAGACTAGATGCGAATCGTGTTAAGAAAAGCAGTTGTGGAACTACGGTGTCTGCTGCTGTGCGAGAGACATCCAAGGAACCTTACCTTGACCTGTCTCTACTTTGTGGCTCATAGAAATGTGGGTGGCCAAACAGAATAGTTTGGGCCGTGTGTCCTGAGAGGCTAAAGTTACTTCGTGCATTTGGGTGGAAATTGACACAGGAACCTTTGAAGGTAATGCTATTGGGGAAATAATTCTAGGGTTAGATATTTCAGGACTTTTTGGCACTGGGGACCAGTTAAAAGGGTGCTTTGAGTACTTCAGTACTGAGACTAAGGATGAAGTAGACTGATCTTTGTCACTGTGATAAAACAAATAACAATATGATAGTGCAGGATGGAAAGAGTGCTAGCATCTGCATCTGCCATACTTGAACATCTCTCTCTCTCAATGGAGGTGCTTGGTCTTTATTTTTAACAACATTCCTCCAAAGTACAGAAATATCTTAATTTTGATACTGCTTTGGCTGGGTTCACTGCCTATAACCAGGTCTTCTGCTCTGTTAACAGAACTATGCTTTTCTTTATATTACATTGCTTTGCACTACAGCATTAGTGCCTTCTTTGGACTTTCTCCTTTTTGTTACAGTTGCTACATCACTGTCTGTGATAATTTGTGGTCCAAGAATTACCTGCCCTGGTCTAAGTCCATCTGAAGCAAAAGTGTAACTAACTAGTAAATTGCAAACTAATCCTTTACTTCCAACTTGGTTCTTACACACACAAGTGCCATTCTTTTAAGAATTTTATGCTTTCGACAATATTTGCTCAAAGAGCATAGCTACGTCGTAAACTTCGGTGGTTACAATAATATGATGCCTTGCAGCTATATCACTCTGAAGAGTCAGGCGTTTCTACCAATACTACAATGTTCCCTGTTCCCTTCAAGGCAAAGGTTTTTTATGTCATACACTTGACCCTTCTCTCCTTCTTGCAACTCAGTTTGCCTTTCTCATATTAGTTTTGGCTTCCTGTGGATTTTGCCCACTTCTGTGCTTATCTGTCACTGTTGGAGATTCTATCATGTACAGTAGGCAAGTGTCTAGCCTCTGCAGAAGATTTTTTTAAAGTATTTTTTTTTTAATTCTACAGAATAAGAGACAGATAGGAATTTTCATTGATCACTAGAGATATCAATAGCTCTAACAGTTGCCAACGTCACACAGCACTCCGTTTCAATAGATCTGTAAATTCAAAGGATGTGCTGCTCCTCTCAGGTGACAGGTGTTTTCACACACCTTTTACCTGTTTCTGTCACTTGTTTTTGTTGAAGATCCACAGTGACCTTTCTCAAGATTTTCTGCTTTGCTGCGCAGAGAGTTCATTTTTTGAACAATGAATTTAGTATTGTGGGCTAATGCTGAGAAAAGTTATCTATTTGCAATGGAAACACTGTTTTGAGGAATTACATTTGGATTGGGATACTGGGGCTTGGAGAAGAAATCACATCTAGAAAAGCCCTTAGCACAGAGCAGTTGGGTGAGAAGGGAATCCTCCTACTGCTCCTGTAGACAGGGCTATTAGGAAGAGTCTCAAGAGGCTAGTGCTAGTGATAAAGTTTGGATCTGCATGCAGTTCTGTTTCTACCCATCTCTTGACATTCCTGTGTCTAGAGAAAGCTTTGTTTAGAATGGATAGATCTATGGAGGAACATGAACACACTTAGCAGAGTGGATGCTTGCGGGCTCTTGAGTATGGAATAATATTCATTCTTTCCTAGAATTTCCCAGTGCACTGATCCTTCTCCATACTGATGTTGGAAGTGTTCTCTTGGAGATGACCCACAAATGCTCATTCTTATAATAACGTAAATTGCTATTCTTTCTAGCTGAAGAATGAGCATTTTCCCTTTTCTGTTTTGATATTTGACAGCAGTAAATCTGACCTCCACCACCCCACTTCCACTCCCATTTCCCTGCTTCATTTAGCCTTCGATTCCATGGTGGGGAAAAGGCAGGATATACGTATTAGAAAATAAATCAAATCACCCTACTTCTAGTTCAATAACATACAGTGAAAACCCCCCACAACTTCATAGCAGCGATACCAAATTAAATCTTGTCGCTTGAGCCATGAATTGTCAGCGTATTTCCTTATTAGTGGTTCTTATGTAGGATTGAATCTGTGAATAAATGAAGTAAAAAAAAGGTTTGATACTTACTGTCAGCCCCACCCAGGTGCACTTCTTACCTCCAGTCTATCTTGATGAATTTTCTAGCATCTTTGAAAATAAGTATAGAGAGTATATACTTTCCTTTCCAACCCTTAATATGTGAGATATTCTGATTGGTGTTCAGAATACTAGCTAAAGCTGCTGTTTTTATGAATCTTCACTACCAAACAGGCATTTTTAGCCTTCATCAAAGCATTCTCATTGCTTTAGCTACTATTCTCATTTCAGCTAACCCTGAAAGTGAGTAAATAATTCCATTTTTCCTGCTGTTTCTTCCTCCTGCCATCTCTTTAGCCAAAAAAACAACAGATGGGCTGTTTGTAAATGCAAGTGTAATGTTTTAAGATCAGTAGGGAAGGCTTTGAGGATAAAATAGCTACTTGACTGGAAGCAATTTCTACAGTTTCCAGTCTTCCTGCTTCTCTCTCTGGTTAGGATTTGCAGGATTTGTAGAATCTTTCAGTATCCCTTCAAAGGTACTCAGGCACTTTCTCATGGGGCTCTGAATGGCCTTCCTGATCTTTTTCTCTTTTTACTGAAAGCTTATTTGGATCGCTTGGCAAGGGGGAGATCTTGGTCCTCTTTAGTTAGTGGCAATGAATGGGAGGGATTTAACCGAAGGGAAGTAATGAAACTTAATCCTTACAGTGCTGCTTTGTTACTGACTTCAAAGAGTCATTTTAATCATCTTAAACTGCACCAGTAAGATGTGTTTTTCACTGCTTGAAAAAGCTCCTTGGACACTTCAAACAGATGAGCTGGAGCCTGGTGTGGTTTGAAAATAATTTCCATCTTCAAAAAACTTTCCAGTCAAACTACGTTGCTTGTTTATCTAGCATGCTTGATTGCACAGTGAACTCTGATCCGGAGTTTTCACCTAATTCTCTCGTTAAATGTAATCATGTGCCTTATATTTGCTTTACCAAGTTTTAAGGGTGCCTTGTGTTTGTATAACTTCACTTTGCTAGATTTGCAAAGTTCTGTATTTCTAAAAGTATGTCATTATGAATTGTTAAGGAGCTTTTGAACACTAAATCAAATAATTATTTAAAACTTGCACCTGACTCTTAAGTGTCTGTTTTGCCCTTATGTGAAGTAATTGTACCTGGATATATGTGCTGCAAAACGCCCACCTCCCCCAGTATGTAATCTATACTGTATATTTTTAAAAAATATTTTCTTTTTGTTTGTGGAGAGAAGTGTCAAATAGCTTGGCTGGTGTTCTAGTGTTTGGGATGGATTCAGCTAATGAGTCTGGCTAGTGGAAGCTCACACAATGATTTCTTGTAGTGAAAGGATAGTTCCCCCCCTTCTCCCTTTCACTGCAGCCAATCGGAAGCCGCAGAAGTTTGCCACACTGTGTTGGAATAGTGTAACACAACCTCCAGTCACAACACACACCTCCAGCAGGCTATAGACTCGGAAAATGCAGTAATGGGGCAGTTTCTCTCTAGCCATGTGTCATGTATCCTTGAGTTTGCAAAGGCAAACTCTGGTGATGGGTAGTTATGGAGAAAGCGCGCTTGAGCACAAGGGACCACTTTGCAAAATGTTTGGCTCCTGAGCTCACATGGGAACTTGTGCCCATTGCAAACATTTCCCCTAGAACTCTGTTGTTGGTTGCTCTGCCCATGCCATCCCCCAAAACAATGGTCTGTGTGTAGATTTCTTCAGCGTTTACTGTGACCATTATTGGTTTATCTTCCCTGTATTCCTTCTAATACTCTTTAACACCTTTATCTAATAATCCCATTGCCTCTTCATCTGGTTATCTTCTATACAGTCGTACCTTGGAAGTCAAACGGAATCCATTCCAGAGGTCCGTTCAACTTCCAAAACGTTCGGAAACTAAAGCATGGCTTCTGATTGGCTGCAGGAAGCTCCTGCCTCATCGGACGTTCGGCTTCCAAAAATAGTTCACAAACCGGAACAGTAACTTCCGGGTTTGTGGCGTTCGGGAGCCAAAATGTCCAAGTAGCTGTTCAAAAATCAGGGTACGGCTGTACAGTATATTTAAAAGCATTGTTTCAATACATGTGAGCTTACAACACAACTTTGATATGTAGAGTTCTCTTCTTTGGTGTCCTAGCAAGCCAGCCATGCCCCATTTTAGAACATGTGTTTCTTATGAACCCTGTTTTTTTCTTATTTCTGCCCCCCTCCCCAACCCTTCCAGTAGTCAGCCAGCATTGCATGGCAACTGAGCATGCTCAACCCTCGCTGATCTGTCCCCCCACCCAATGTTTTTGAATTATTCTCTTGTTTATGCAAAGTTTAGGGTTCCCAAAGCTCAATGACACTTTTCTCTTGTATGTGGATAGAAGTGTTTTGGCTACATAAAGATTGCCTTTTGAAAAAATTAGTTTGCTAATTGTATACAATCTCTATAAAAGTTTCTTTACTGAATTCAATTTTTAGTTCAGTCTAAAAATAAAGTAGGGATGCGGGTGGTGCTGTGGGTTAAACCACAGAGCCTAGGACTTGCCGATCAGAAGGTCAGCGGTTCGAATCCCCACGACAGGGTGAGCTCCCGTTGCTCGGTCCCTGCTCCTGCCAACCTAGCAGTTCGAAAACATGTCAAAGTGCAAGTAGATAAATAGGTACTGCTCCGGCGGGAAGGTAAACGGCGTTTCCGTGCGCTGCTCTGGTTCGCCAGAAGTGGCTTGGTCATGCTGGCCACATGACCCAGAAGCTGTCTGTGTACAAACACTGGCTCCCTCGGCCAGTAAAGTGAGATGAGCACCGCAACCCCAGAGTCGGTCACGACGACCTAATGGTCAGGGGTCCCTTTACCTTTACCTAAAAATAAAGTATAAATTTAGCTAGGCCTAAAATGGGTTGCATACATTCCAAGAGGGACCAAACTAACTTGCAGTGCAGTCTTATGTTCCTTCAGAAATAGGAACTACTAAGAGCTCTGGGTGTTAACCCCAGTTAAGTGTAGTTAAGACTGCAACTGATAAAATTACTACTCTTTTTTCAACTAGGCCCTTGCAATATAATTAGATCTACAAAAAATTGCAAGCCTACATGTGTAGGGCTAGCTTGCGGAGGAGCCTTCATAGATGCAGCGAGTGTCAAGAAAATGAAAAGCAGCAAGACAAATTAAGTAGCTGTGAAAGTTCAGCCACAAGGCAGGTAGGCTGAAGTAAATTAATTGATTTTTGGTTTATTGCTAAGTTCAACAACCTAATCTTTTGTCAGTTCTATTTGGCTTGCTTCTTCAGACAAGCTTCCGGAAAACAAATCTAATTGCAGGTATGGTAGCTGATCTGCACCTTCCACAGCGAAGAGAACAAATAATTATACTTCCGTCTATCCTTCAGCAATTCTTCTGTGATTAGGGTAGGCTAGGCTTTCTCTTCTTACATTATTTAAGTCCTACAGGTTTTAGCAGCATGCTTGTTTGCTTGCCATATTGCCAACTTACCATTTATTTTGCATTTTCAAAAATAAAGAAGATTTTGTCCTTGGTTTTTTTTAAAAGTCAGCGGCTACACCTCTCCCACCCACCTCTTCTCTGCCCCTGGACCATGAAAGCACTTTGCAGTCATAAGCAAAAGGGAAGTAACTGGGGTGAATAGCAATGAAAATGGCCACAATGCCCTCATAAGGCCTGGAATTTGTGTGGGTGGGTCAGTCAAGCTACCCCAAAGCAGTGCTACAGACTTAGAAGCAACCTTTAGGCAAGTTGCATTTCAATCTTCTTTTTGTAAGATGTTTTGAGGACCCATCTAGATCGACAGGTTGAGTAAAAAAAATCAGAAACGGTTGTTACCTAATGGGAACAGGTGGCTACATACAACATCATCTTGCATGGAGCATAATATGGATGTACCCTATTGAATATACAGTCATACCTCGAGTTGAATGCGCTTTGGGTTGAGCGCATTCGAGTTGCGCTCTGCGGCAACCCGGAAGTAACGGAGCGCATTACTTCCGGGTTTCGCCGCTCACGCATGCGCAGATGCTCAAAATGACGTCATGTGCATGCACGGAAGCAGCGAAACGCAACACGCGCAGATGCGCCGTCGCATCTTGCGTTCCGTTCGGGATGCAAATGGGGCTCCAGAACGGATCCCGTTCGCATCCCGAGGTACCACTGTACCTACCTCCCCATTCCTCTATTCAAAAGTGCAGCCACCTGGATTGACTTTAACTTTTAAAGAAACAACGACTGGGAGGGAATCGTAGAACTGTAGAGTTAGAAGGGACCCTGCGGATCATCTAGTCCAACCCCCTGCAAGGCAGGAATATGCAGCTGTCCCATACAGGGATCCAGCCTTCAGCCTTGCCGTTATCAGTGCCGTGCTCTAACTATACCTCTTACCTCTTTTAATTATTCCCAACCTATGGGATTTGATCAGTTGTGGGTTAAAAAAAATCCTTAAATTTATGGTTGCCATATTACCGTGTCAGATAGAAGCGATACATTTGTGATACTGTCTTGCTAAGATTAATTCCAGCGTTGAGGTTTCTGTGATGTTGCATGTGCTGCAGAACAAGAAACCAGCAGAGTAGATTTTTGTCCAGCACTGTGAGCAGATCTGCGAATGATTCAGAGGAGGTAACTGGGGAGCCAAACACCTGCTTGTATTCAGCAAAAATGGACGATAAATATTTCAGTAGACTGGGAAGCTCAGGGGACCAGACAGGAATAGATCACATTTCCTAATAATAAAGTGGCTTAACGAGTGGATGATCTGCAGTTTGTCAGAGGCATCTTAAGATCCCCAGTAGATAAGTCAACAAAGTCCTTCCATGTGTGCTTTTGAGCAGAGGAGTAGCTGCGGTAAGTAGGTTAGATTACGGGGAACAGTTAAAGTTATTTCTGAAAATGTTTTTCTCTGCAATTAGTAATACAACAAAACAATGTAATGAAAATAATGGCTTAGTCTAATGAGAAGATGGTGCTAGGGAAACAAGTGACTACACCCGAAACGTGAGAAGCACCAGTTAGACGTGTGGCGAGGGACCAGTGTTAGCGCTCTATTTATATCGAAGGACCAAAATAATACATTAACGTAGAAGGGGATATAATGGGACACTAAGTAATAGCAAAAATACTGGAAAGGGATATATATATATACGCAGGACGCAGGTGGCACTGTGGTATAAACCACTGAGCCTAGGACTTTGCTGATCAGAAGGTTGGCGGTTCGAATCCCCGCAATGACGGGGTGAGCTCCCATTGCTCTGTCCTAGCTCCTGCCAACCTAGCAGTTCAAAAGCACGTCAAAGTGCAAGTAGATAAATAGGTAAGGTAAATGGTGTTTCCGTGCGCTGCTCTGGTTCACCAGAAGCGGCTTAGACATGCTGGCCACATGACCTGGAAGCTGTACGCCAGCTCCCTTGGCCAATAAAGCAAGATGAGCGACGCAATCCCAGAGTCGGTCACAACTGGACCTAACGGTCAGGAGTCCCTTTACCTTTACATATATATATATATATATATGCATGTCAGATTGCTGTGGGAGAAAAAACCTACAAAACTACGAGGAGCAGTGTGAGTGTAGGTAATTTTAATGTGCGGTGGTACATCTTTAAAGCTTTAATGTGTAGTGATACATCTTTATAACTTCTATTAATGATCAAGCTGATAGGATATCTCCTCCTTTGGCACACAGTAATTTATAGTTGGGCCTGTTATGATGAGGCTTGTGTAATTTGAAAAAGGGATGATTAAAGATAGGTGGGGATGATTTTTCAGCTCTGTCTGTCATGCCATCGAGGACTGGAGGTAATTCAGCTCTCGAATAACCTGCAATATACACAACTTGCTTTGTTTTATGTAAAAAACTACTACTAATAGAGCTGTGGTGAAGGAAGCATATTACAAGAGGGCAATTGCATTTGCTTTTTAAGTTCCCAAAGCTGAATTATGAACACGAAGTGTTTACTTTTGAAAAAGCAAATATTATTTAAACTTCAAATACAGTGTGATGTGGACTTCTGGGGAGCTGAGGGGGAGTTGTTTGGGGAATGTTGGTTGGTTCTAACAGAGGTGCTATTTCACTGATCTTTTAAGTTCTCAAGACTATGAGATGAGACTTTGTTTCGCTGATGGGATCGTGCCCATAAATGATCATTGCTGATTATGTCAGTCACTGGTGTATAATATAAGCATTGTCACATAGGAGTCCGTGACTAAGTCACTTGTGCATGTAGCAGTCTCAGCAGCAATCAAGGTGCTGGACTGAGAATAACAATTACCAAGCCAGCTCCAGTTGGAATTGCCAGCTATAGAAGTGCAATTTGATGGGGAAATTCCTGCCTCCCTTGCAGCAAAGCTGCTCAGCGCTCTTTTCCCCTTCCTTCCAAACAAACGAACAAACAAAACCAGCCACAGCTGCAAAGTTAATAGTTTTATCAAGGTACCAAGAGGACCCATTGTGCACCTAGCAGATGCTTTCCCTCAGCTGCTGGAACAAAAGAAGTGGACTTCAAAAGGCAACACAATACCACAAAATAATGAGCATAGGACAGGTGAGAGCTGTAATCGATAGTACACTGTGTACAGTGGGAAGTTGCCTGGTGGAATGTGAGAACATCAGTCGATGCTGAGCTGTCATCCCCTTCCTAAGGGGATGCAGGTGGCGCTGTGCTCTAAAGCACTGAGCCTCTTGGGCTTGCCGATCAGAAGGTCAGCGGTTCGAATCCCCGCAACAGAGCGAGCTCCCGTTGCTCTGTCCCAGCTCCTGCCAACCTAGCAGCTTGAATGCAACACCAGTGCAAGTAGATAACTAGGTACCGCTCTGGCGGGAAGGTAAATGGTGTTTCTGTGCGCTCTGGCTTATGTCACGGTGTTCCATTTCGCCAGAAGTGGTTTAGTCCTGCTGGCCACATAACTCGAAAAGCTGTCTGTGGACAAAGACCGGTTCCCTTGGTCTGAAAAGCGAGATGAGTGCCACACCCCATAGTTACCTTTGACATGACTTAACTGTCCAGGGGTCCTTTCCCTTTTACCTCTCCTAAGCCTGTACATGTCCTGCTTTACATATTATGCAACCTTACACGTTACCTGTGCAAACCTTGGAGATGGGATTTTTGGCTAGAAATAAAAGTGGAGAGTTTACTGGCTGCTGCAGTTAGATTCCCATGTGTGCTTGGTCATATTTGTCATGAGTCTTTTACCATTTACTCTCTAGTCACTGGTCTACCCTTACATGGTTCTTCAGAATACCAAGGAGCTGACAGGTGGGTCAGGGGTGTTTGGCCGTTATTTAATAATAATAATAATAATAATAATAATAATAATAATAATAATAATATATTTATACCCCACCCATCCAGCTGGGTTTCCCCAACCACTCTGTACAGCTGTATTGACAGCCCAGGTCATCTGCCCATGACCCAAGGCCTTAGGAGGAAATCCCACCCCCCATCTCAGAAAACAATCATCATTGATAACAGTGATATACCGCTTAGTATGCAAAATGCAACAAATACTGTACAAATAAATCCATCATTAGAAACAGAGAAGCCATCAATAAAATATTCAGTTAAAAAAGGTAAAGGTGACCCCTGACCATTAGGTCCAGTCGTGACCGACTCTGGGGTTGCAGCGCTCATCTCGCTTTACTGGCTGAGGGAGCCGGCGTTCAGCTTCTGGGTCATGTGGCCAGCAGGACTAAGCCGCTTCTGGCAAACCAGAGCAGCGCACGGAAACGCCATTTACCTTCCCGCCAGAGCGGTACCTCTTTATCTACTTGCACTTTGACGTGCTTTCGAACTGCTAGGTTGGCAGGAGCTGGGACCGAGGAACGGGAGCTCACTCCGTCGTGGGGATTCGAACCGCCGACCTTCTGATCGGCAAGCCCTAGGCTCTGTGGTTTAACCCACAGCACCACCCGCGTCCCTAAAATATTCAGTTAAGCACAAATAAATAATAAAACACAATAATGTGATGCAACCCAGGAGCCCAGCAAATCCCTGCCTAAATACACGGGTCATAGACGTGTCCAAGGCTATGACAGCCCCTTCTGACTCCTCTCAAGCCTCGTCTGGGTGCTGTCCGAAGAAACCTGCTGGATTCAAGGGGGAGAAGGCAGATAATGGCACTGGCTGGAGCATCTGGCGGGAGATGGGGAGAAAGAAAGTTCCCAGGAATCTTCGGGTGGAGAGATCTCTTAAGGGACGAGACTGGCAAAGGATTTCTCTAACTCTCCAGCCCCCAATGCGGCTGAAATGAAGGCGATGGATTGGGGGGGGGGGGCTGGTACCCGGGAGGTATTTTGCTTTGTTTGGCGGAGTCTTCCAAACTGGACTCGGGGGGCTTTGATTCCCCAGCGGGGTCCCCTTTTCGGCTCGTGATCTCGGGGCGGCAGCAGCAGCCCAAGTTTGGATCTGGGTGCGCGGGAGGCGCACGCACTTCCATTCTGCTCTGGACCAGGAACCCGCTTCCAGCTCGTCTTGTGCAGTGAAGCCGAGGCTGCCACCCCCCCCAGCCACCCCCCGTCCCCTCCCTTGCTTGGAAGAAGCGACCGTCCTCCTTTCCGCCCATTCTTCCTCCTGCGACCCGCTCCCTGGCCGGAGGTTTCCAGCTCCGGTGCGCCCTCGAAGCGCAGGACAGGGCTGCCTGGGGAAACCTGCGCACCTGCCGCCCAGCCAGGTAAGGAGGACGGACTTTTCTTGCGCTGCCTGGTCGAGGGTGGAGGGCGGAGGAGGAATGACCATCTTTAGCCTGGATAAAAGAGGAGATGTGATAGCATCTTCCAATATTTAAAAGAGCACACTGTGCGCATGGAAACGGCAGGAAGCTTGTTTTCTCCGGCTCCAGAGCTTAGGACTCGAACCCATGGCTTCAGGAGTTTCCGACTCAGCATCGGGAAGAACTTTCTGACAGCAAAAGCTGTTTGGACTCCTCTCTCCCGAAGTGGTGGGCTCTTCTTCCTTGGTGGTTTTTAAGCAGAGGCTGGGTGGCCATCTGTCCTGGGTGCTTCAGTTGAGATTCCTGCATTGCAAGGGGGTTGGACTAGATGACCCCTGGGTCCCTCCCAACTCTATGATTCTGTGACCTGCTGACCTTCGTGTGCACCCTGACCCTTCGCGGCTGGTGGGGCTCCAGGAGGATCTGCAGAACTCCTTGCAGCAGGACTTTCATTCACCGTCTCCCATTTGGCCGTGAAACAGGGATACTACTCCCCACCTAATTGGCTCCAGTGACCTCATCAGTAGTGGGGAAGGCTTTTCTCACCTGGACCAATAACTGGCCTGCCGAGTTGAGTAAGGGCTAATGTATGTATGGCATGATGGACCTTTCAGGAAGGGATGGGGGGCATACCTGCTCCATTCCCTCTTCCAAATTAAATGCACCACAGCCCTGTGATGTAGGTTAGACTGAGAGAGAGCTACCCATCCAAGGTCATCCAGAAGTTTGAACCCAGGTCCCCTCCAAGTCAGGTACTCTGACCACTACGCCAGGCTGGTTGTCTGGACTTCATTTTGCTCACTTTATAAGCATCAGTTTCTCTCAAGGTAGATGGCTGGTGCCTGGCTGCCTACCTCACAGGGCTGTTGTGAAGTGGGGACATTATATTCTGCGCTCTCCCCCTCCCCTTGTGTACCATGACAACGGAAGAGGGCACAACGTTCTCCCCTTCTTTCTTTTCCAGTAATGGAAGTCCAGGTGTGAGGCATGGCCAGTCTTGAGTGCACCTTACCTGGGCAAAGCTGTCCAATGGAACTGCTCCAAATCTTCTCCATCTCACCCCTCAAATAGTAATTTAAACCTTTGGTGGCTTCTTGATGTAAAGCACTTGAATCTGCTTTGACTTGGACACTCCTCTTGTCCAACCAGAATTTACTCTCAGGGTCAGCTAGTTGCTTGTGTCTTGATGAATTTCGGTTATTGTAACAAAATAAAAAAAATTCCTTCCACCTTAGAGACCAACTAAGTTTGTTATTGGTATGAGCTTTTGTGTGCATGCACACTTCTTCAGATACCTGAATGCACACAAAAGCTCATACCAATAACAAACTTTGTTGGTCTCTAAGGTGCTACTGGAAGGATTTTTTTTTATTTTGTTTCTACTACGGCAGACCAACACGGCTACCTACCTGTAACTTCGCTTATTGTAGACTGAGATCTTGACAGTGTGCTGGGAGGAGCACTGCTGCCTGTTGCCTCTGTGCTTGACCATTGTCCATTTTGGCTTATTACACAAGGCCAGTTAATGCTTTGCACACACACACACGCACACACGCGCACACACACACACACACACACACACACACACACACACAGAGAGACAGCGCTTTGAAAGAGGCAAACATGAAAGACCACTCCTAAACCATTCTTCCCTGTACCAAGACTTTTTGAAAAGAAGCATAAAGACATGGTGTGTGTTTGTGTGGAACAGAGGCTGTAGCTCAGTGGCGCAGCACATGCTTAGCATACAGAAAGGTCCAGGATCTATCCCTGGTGTCCTCCTCCCTGGGACTGAAGCTGAGAGAGGCTGACCTCAGGCCAATGAATGAGTGCAGGGCAGCAGTGGCATGTGGTCATTGGACCAGGGGGACTGGGCGAGTCGTCTAAATGTTCCCCTGGCGCCACCTTCCCAAAGCCCAGGAAGCTTCTGCGTGGCTTAGGGAGGGAGATGCAATGCTCCGACGGGTCCAAGAGCCTTCCTGCCAACTTCCCAAAGCCTGGAAGGCTTCTGCCCAGCTTGAAGTGGGAGGTTTGATGCTTATACATCAGGACATCACGTGCATGACGTCCCCGTCCCCCACAGCACTCACAAGCTGACACCTCTGGCCCTAACTGTCCCCCTATGAAAAATTTCACCGCACACCTCTGCATGGCAGAGATCCTAGAAACACAGAATTGTAGAGTTGGAAGGGACCGCAAGGATCATCTAGTCCAACCCCCTGCGATGCAGGAATGTTTTGCCCAATGTGGGGCTCAAATCCATGACCCTGAAATCAAGAGTCTGGTGCTCCGCTGACTGAGCTACCAGGTGGGCAAGTCAGAGACCTCCTCCTTCATGCCTCCGCCAGGCCACTCTGCCAGTTCTTGAGTGAGCCACAATCTATACAACGACTGCCTGCCTGGACACACGTAACTGGGAGAAACGACAAATGCTTCCGCCACCCTGATTCACACGATAATTATGGTATATCATCAGAGTTGGTGAGACGTAGGAAAGAGGTCCAAACCAAGTTTCAAGTTGGCCCCCATGAGCAAGTTGACTTTGATTGTTAACTTAATTGCTGCCATGTTTCTGTCACTGTTTTGCTTATGATCAACCCTCCCTCCCCCTTTTCAGGACACCCTGAAAAGAGCAGAGGAATTTGTTGCACATCTTGCTTGCTGCCACTGGATATACTTGATCTTGAGTTTCTTGGGACTGCGACGCGGTAAATTGCACTGCCCAGACAATGTGGTGGAACGAAGGCTTACAATGCGCCGTGGAAACGGGATTCAATTACTCTAACCAGTGCGAAAACATCCTGGAACAACAGCAGAAGACCGCGCAGGACCTCTGTACTATAACAATTGTGGGTAAATGGATAAGGAAAGAGTTACAACTTTTAATGTTATTTGAAGTAAATATATGCCAGTTTAAAATGTGTGGGGTTTTTTGGATTCTTATAATGTTAGGATAGAAGAGCATTTTAAGGTGGACCAGAGGCAAGCAACTTTATCCCCAAAGTGTGTGACTTCCAACATATATCAAAACATGATTAAACATTAAAAAACTTCCCTAGACAAGGCTGCCCTCAGATGGCTCGGGGGTTGGATAACATTTCTCTGATCTCCAACATTTCTCTGATGAAAATAGGTGTTAAGTTGTGGGTGAACATATCAGACGACACAGCGATTCTCCAAACAGCTCTTGTTTATTCAGAGGCCAGAAACTGAACTGAAGGGTTCAGCCAGCCTGCTTATATAGAGCTCCACTACAACGCAACTGTAACCACTTTCTGTAACTATCCAATCACTGAACATCACTTTCAGTCCCTTATTTGTATATGTGGACCTGAGTGAAAACTATCTACAGTATCCCCCTGCTGGCCCAGGGTGAGAACTTCAGTACATAACAATAGGGATGTCCTAAGGAAAAGCGGGACATTCTGGGATCAAATGAGAAACCAAGATGGCTTCTGTAAATCTAGGATTGTCCCTGGAAAATAGGGACACTTGCGGGTGTGCATTCTCTTTGTGGATATTAATTATTTCTGGTTTTCCTGAGATGGCCAATATAGCTCTTAAATTATGCTGCTTCAAGTTAAGTAGCCCCCCCATCTGTCTTTGAGACAAAGGGGTCCTTACTATCTCCCATCTGTCTTTCCTCAGACATCCTCTGACAGCAGTTGCAAGAACTCCCCCTTTTCAGCAGCCATCTTGGGCATCACATGGGTCTTCCTTACTAGTGGAGTCCTGCTCAGTTTCTTCTTTCTCATCTTCACAATTCACTTCAGAAAGAACAGGTAAGGCCAGAAATATATTGTGGTCATGCTTTCAGTAGCTGGGCATACTGCTCTAAGGCTCCATTGTTCCGGATAAATCTTTTGCTATCATATACAGTATAGAAAGGCTTTTGTTTTCTCTGGACATTTGAAAATTAGCTTTAAAAAGAGCAGAATATATCATGTTGTGCAAACTGCATGATTATCTGCATTAACACTGCAGATATTTAACAACAAATATTCCCAAGGTTGCCACTGGTTAATAAAATTGTTTTTAAGTCAGCAAAATAAAACAATGAATATAAAACGGTTTAGAACAAATTCAGAACAAGCAACAGAAAAATGCTTCCATTTGATGGCTGGAGGTCTGGGAGGAATGAAAAGGTCTCCAAAAGGACAACTTCAGAGGCAAAATGTGAAAACTTTGCAAAGAGGTTTAGGTGTGTCTTCTGCTGTGCAGGAGCTGAAGTTCAGGAAATTCTTCTTATTCTTCTCTATTGAATTTATATACTGCCCTAAACCCAGAGGTCTCAGGGCGTTTCACAGAAAAGAGCAGCATAAACTTACTAAGAATCCTCATCCTAGGGACTTCCTACGAAAAAGGGGGACATTCTGGGATCAAATCAGAAACCGGGATGAGTCCTGTAAATCCGGGTCTGTCCCTGGAAAATAGGGACACCTGGAGGGCCTGGAAGGGTTTGTGGTGATTTTATGTGTTCCTTTTTGGTGGGGAGAGGCCCCCTATTTTGGAAACTGCAGCTGAGCCCCCAACCACTTTAATCCAGCCTTGCTACAGAGTGATGCCACTTGGGATATTCAAGTGCAGTGTCACCATTATGCTGTATCAGTGTGGTGACAACACCCAGTGGTACATCTTCTTTTCATCAATGATGCTGTGGAAAAGATGAACCAGCGCCTTGGACCAGTAAAGGGATGGTTGAGGGCCAACCAACTAAAGCTCAATCCTGCTAAGATGGAGATGTTTTGGTTTCAGAGATAGCATTGGGCCTCCTTTGGATGACGTTGCCAACTTTCTTAGGGATCAGGTCTGCAGTCTGAGGTGCTATTAGACCAGTGTTTCCCAACCTTTTTTGGGCAAAGGCACACTTGTTTCATGAAAAAAATCTCGAGGCACACCACCATTACAGCCCCGTGACGTCAGCGCGCAGCGTCACGCCGGGAGGGACGCACGAAAGTGTAAGTTTCAATTTTTTCCCCTCCCCCTTGCCTTCCTTCTGTGCCAACCGCCAAAAAGCCAAGAAAAAAGCCAAGACTTTAGGGCAGCAGGTCGACACGGAAGAAGCTCCTACCTAAGGACAGGTGCGACGGCCGTGTCCTCTTCTGCCACACTTGGCAGCCCTGCCTCACGGTCGTGACTCCCACCCTGATTTCTCCCCGCAGGTCGAGCGGCACAGGCAGCCCAATGTGTCCAGCCCAGACACAAGCCCCGCTTCCCCACTCTAGATCCTGAATGCGACCAAGTGCTCTGGACTCCCGAGCAGGGTGGGAAAGAGGACTCGCATCTGGTAGCCTCCGGGCTCCTCGCCTGCTCGAGGGATGGCATTGCAGGCAAGCTGCCGGCCGTCGCCATCGCCGCCCCCTCATGCGAGTGGACCTGCCCGGAGTGGTGGGCCGGGGGAGGCTCGCTCTCTGTGGGGATGTGGCCCGCACGCGCGGCCCCGCTTCCTCCTGCCCAGGGCTGAGCTCCTTACCCGCGATCTCGGTCTCGTGCATGCGGATCCCACTTATTCTGAAGCTCGCGCCACTAGCCGGGGCTCTCACACCGTGCCAGGGCGAGGCGGCGCGGCCCACTGACGTCATCGCGGCTCGCCGCCGCCCTCGACTTCCCTGTTCCCTCCCCTCCCTCGGGTCGCCGTGGTTACCGAGGACTGCAAGCTGCTCGGGCGAGCGTGGGGCATTAAGTGGGAGAAGGAAAATTAAAATTAAAACTCGCCTGAAGGCCGCCTCTCCGGATATCTTTCGAATTTTTTAATTTTTCCCGCGGCACACCAGGCAACGTCTCGCGGCACACTAGTGTGCCGCGGAACACCGGTTGGGAAACACTGTATTAGACCCAGCCCCCTGGCTCTGGAGGCCCGATTGTCTTCAGGGGCAAAAAGCACAGGGGAGCATTGAAAAAGGACTTCTCAGAGAAAGCATAGCAGGAGGGGAAAATTATTGCATTACATGGGTTGTAAGAGTGGGGCAAGCCTAACTTCTCTATCCAAGGGAAGCTTGGATAGCTCACTTGGTTAGAACATGGTGCTGATAACTCCAAGGTTGCAGGTTCCATCCCTGTATGAGACAGCTGCATATTCCTGCGTTGCAAGGGGTTGCACTAAATGATCCTCAGGGTCCCTTCCAACTCTACAATTCTATTTATTGTTGTCGTTTAGTCGTGTCCGCCTCTTCGTGACCCCCTGGACCAGAGCACGCCAGGCCCTCCTGTCTTCCACTGCCTCCCGCAGTTTGGTCAAACTCATGCTGGTAGCTTTGAGAACACTGTCCCGCCATCTTGTCCTCTGTCGTCCCCTTCTCCTTCTGCCCTCCATCTTTCCCAACATCAGGGTCTTTTCCAGGGAGTCTTCTCTTCTCCTGAGGTGGCCAAAGTCTTGGAGCCTCAGCTTCAGGATCTGTCCTTCCAGTGAGCACTCAGGGCTGGTTTCCTTAAGAATGGAGAGGTTTGATCTTCTTGCAGTCCATGGGACTCTCAAGAGTCTCCTCCAGCACCAGAATTCAAAAGCATCCATTCTTCGGAGATCAGCCTTCTTGATGGTCCAGCTCTCACTTCCATACATCACTACTGGGAAAACCATGGCTTTAACTATACGGACCTTTGTTGGTAAGGTGATGTCTCTACTTTTTAAGATGCTGTCCAGGTTTGTCATTGCTTTCCTTCCAAGAAGCAGGCGTCTTTTAATTTCGTGGCTGCTGTCACCATCTGCAGTGATCATGGAGCCCAAGAAAGTAAAATCTCTCACTGCCTCCATTTCTTCCCCTTCTATTTGCCAGGAGGTGATGGGACCAGTGGCCATGATCTTTGTTTTTTTGATGTTGAGCTTCAACAATCTATGGTTCCTCTTTCATAACCCTTGCCTCCATGTTTTCTTATCTCCTTTGTCTGCTGGAGGATTGTGAAAATGTCCAGTCCTAACCTGAACATAGTGACCCTGCTGGGCAGTGGCTTGACCTACAGTAGCGCTTACCTCTTTGGAGTTGAAAGGAATAATTCATTGACCAGGCCATCCCTGGAGATGCTGGTTCAGGTGGGTGAAAGCCGGCGGTGTGGCTCACGGGGCATTCCTCTTGTGGGGACATTTTTATATTAGGCAGAATTCAAAGGGGTACGTGGGCTAATGATGCATGCGCACACAGATCAATCCTGCCCCATAGCTCCCCTTCAGAAAGAACTCTTCCACAATGTCCAAACTGTTTTTTCAACTCCTAAAGTGTAACATTCCAAGGCATGGACTGAAGGAAGGTGATGCAATAACCTTGCAGAAACTAAGGTGGCTTGGTTCTATTGGCATCTGGGTGGGAGGGACTACCTGGGAATCCTATGTAGCCTATGTTGAGATAAATATCTGAGAGATGTAATAAATAGTTTTTGAGAGCCAGTCCAATGTAGGGAATAGACTCAGACTGGGGTTATAATCCTCATTCAGCCATGAAACCCACATTTCAACACCTTCCATTACATGAAATCTTGAATAATATCTACTATGCCAAAAATAATAATGACATGCGCAGCTCAGTATCTTAAAACCAAACAGTCTGAATATTCCTAAAATAAGTCCATGAAAACAACTCTCTATGTATATACCGGTACTTGTGCTCGTGTGATCCCAATGGAACTCCGACAAAAAGATACCCAGATTTCAATCTCTGTTTTTGAAAAGAGCAAACTGCTGTTCCAAGGCTGGAGCTGACCTGTTTGGTGGAGCATTAATTGCCATTGTATCGTTCCTTTTCGGTCCAACCAGAAGAAGAGTTACGAAACAGAGACTGAAATCAGGGTATCTTGTTGTTATTTTGGCATTGTGTATATTATTTAAGATTTCATGGAACAGAAGTTGTTGAAATGTCATACATTATTGTTAACAAATTTTTGTAAATCAGCATACAGAGTTGTTTAGTTTGTGATTTATCTCTTTGTATTCCTTGGGTGTGGGATTGAGCTCAACAGTGGTTCCCCAGCACCAGGCTCCTGAAATTGGCTCCCAAGATGTGAACAGGACCAGGATAACATTGTTAGTGGCACTGAAGAGAATTAGTGGGATCACGCTTCTTCTGTCCTTGTGGCAGAGTGGCTGCCATTATTTTTAAAAGCTACAGGAGATCTTGATTACAAATATCCCATGTTTCTCTTGAAACTTAGCTTTATGGACCTCTTTGTTTTTATTTCTCTCTCCTCCACAACCCAACACGTAACCCTACAGGTGAGAATCAGCTTGTTGTGCATTGGGGTCTCTCTGGCTTTTGGCCCCATTCTAGGGAAAAGTTGGCGGCTGTATAAGGTGTTCAGTCGGCAAGTTCCAGACAAGAGAGTGGTGAGTTCTTGCAATGTACATCCAGCTGTCAGAAACAAATAAGACTGGGCCACAGTTATTGGCACTAAGATATACCGTATTTTTCCCTCTATAACACGCAGATTTTTTCTCCTAAAAAGGAAGGGGAAATGTCTGTGCGTGTTATAGAGCGAATGTGTGGTCCCTGGAGCCAAAAAATCAAGCAAAAGTCAAATTGCGAGTCACGGAGAGGGAAACCTGAAAAGAGGAAGTGGTTGCTTTCCTGCATTCTGCCTCAGGGTCTTACTGCCCCCCCTTCTCTGTTTCGTTGCTGGGTTTGCTCAAACGGAACAAAGAGCAGGGAAAGCCCCTCCCCTCCAGGCAAGCAGAGGGGAAAGTGTCGTCTCTGTGCTCCGGTACTGCTGGGGGAGAGGGAGAGAGAGTGGGGGAGGGAGAGGGAGAGGGGGGGAGGGAGAGGGAGAGAGAGGGGGGAGGGAGGGAGGGAGGGAGGGAGGGAGAGAGAGAGAGAGAGAGAGAGAGAGAGAGAGAGAGAGAGAGAGATGGCTGGCTTGGGGGGGAACTTTTGCCTTTCTTTCCTCCCACCCCAAATCCCTCTCCAGCGTTCTTAGCCAGCTGCTTCTCTGCACACCCCTCTCATGTCCCTTCTTTGTTTTTCCTTCACTCCCCACTTAAAATGTGGTTACAAAGCATAGATCAACATGGATCCTCAGGATCTTTGCATTGGGTCACCCCAAATTCACCATCAGATCACATAGCATGTCCATGGCTACAGCCTGCACCAAAAAAATCACGCACCCACTGTTGCCTGGGGCTGCAATGGTGCAAAAACGTGGTTAAAAAGCATGGATCCACATGGATCCTCAGGATCTTTGCATTGGGTCACCCCAAATTCACCATCAGATCACATAGCATGTCCATGGCTACAGCCTGCACCCAAAAATCACGCACCCACTGTTGCCTGGGGCTGCAATGGTGCAAAAACGTGGTTACAAAGCATGGATCCACAGGAATTCTCAGGATTTTTGCATTGGGTCACCCCAAATTCACCATCAGATCACATGTCTGTGGCCACAGCATGAAGCACAAAAATGATACATCCACTGTTTCATTCAGAATGTTTTTTCCCTTGTTTTCCTCCTCTAAAAACGATGTGCGTGTTATGGTCGGGTGCGTGTTATAGAGCGAAAAATACGGTACATGTTGGAAGCAGTCACCAGGTATGGGGCCGGATTCAGTGGCCCCTGGACAAAGTGCCCTCAGTGAGACCTGCTACCTGGAGGCAGCTGGCCTCACCTAGTGATGCCCCTCCCTCCTGTCAATGGGACTTTACTCCAGCAGTGCTGGGCTCAGAACATGGCAGGTGGTGGTAGAGGCTGGCAGTCTCTTGAATCTCTTTTCAGATTGGTTGACCTTTCCTTGAATTCCCATACAGCTTTCTGCCTCATGCCGGGAAGTTGTACTGACCACTCAAAGTAGATAAGTAAAGGTGAAGGACCCCTGGACGGTTGTGTCCAGTCAAAGGCAACTATGGGGTTGGGGCGCTTATCTCGCTTTCAGGCTGAGGGAGCCGGCGTTTGTCCACAGACAGCTTTCCGGGTCATGTGGCCAGCATGACTAAACCGCTTCTGGCACAGCAGAACACCGTGATGAGTACCAGAGCGCACGGAAATGCCATTTACCTTCCCGCCGCAGCGGTACCTATTTATCTACTTGCGCTGGCGTGCTTTCGAACTGCTAGGTTGGCAGGAGCTGGGACCGAGCAACGGGAGCTCATCCCGTCACGGGGATTTGAACCGCCAACCTTCTGATTGGCAAGCCCAAGAGGCTCAGTGGTTTAGAGACCACGGCGCCACCTGTGTCCCAGATAAGTAAAACCACCATTATCCAAGGAAAAAGAGAATTATGGTAGTACCAGCTGCATCATCTTAGCTGAATGTCGACAAGATACAGTTTGCTGGGCCAATGGCACACAAGCACTGACTGAATTGTGCGTGGAGATGCAGGATGGAGTTCAGGGGCATTGCCTCCCCAACCTATCCCCACATCAGTGGGCCATGCAGGCAGGCTTACTAAAACGAGCCATATGGCATCCCAGCCCACACAGCCATGACACCAAGTACTGTCCAGGTACTATTCCGGTGACAAAGGGCCCTCTCAAGGAGCAGCAGATGGCAAGACTTCCATAAAGCTTTAAATAAAGTTTGTTTGTTTGGTTTTATTAAATTTGCATGCCGTCCTATACCCGTTTATCTCAGGGTGGTTCATAATATCACTCCTTTCTATGGAGGCTGCTGTTATTTAATGTTTTGGGCAGTCCTTTTCCCCTAAAGAATGTTTAGGGGTACTCTCATTTTGTTTCAAGAAAAAAGCACCATTTTATAGTTCAAATTGGGGAAAATAAATACAGTAAATGGACAAAAGTACAAGGATTCACAAAAGGTTTAGGGGTATGTGTACCCCTGCGTATCCCCAGAAAAAAGCACTGGTTTTAGGTATTGGTTTGTTGTTAATTTTTGGTGGCCATGGTTTTCATCAGTATGGTGTGTTTTTAAACGGATTGTAAGTCATCTAATAGCTTGGCTAAACTTTAAATGTTTATCGGTTTTTAATTATATTCTTACACGCCACCCCAATCTCCACAGCCTTGTGAGATTCCAAGGGCTCCAGGCTTCATGTTTCCTTTGGAAATGAGGCACAGCGGAGACCGTGGTGTCTTTAGGACATATGATTTATTTGCACATATCAAGCCTGAGCCTGACGGAGGGGCGGCCAGGATTCTGTCCCTCCCATGGCTGCTGCTGACTTGGATTCAAACGGGCAGCCCACATTGCTCTGACCGGACAGATCTTTTTCCAGCTTGCAAACTGCAACTATCTTTTCCTTTTGCTTACATCAGGCAAAACTGCAATCCCCGAAACTCTACTAGTGGCCTTTGGTCTTCTACCTAACTCTGAGGTCAGGGAAGGGCTTCACCCATTTTCCTGCTGGTGCAGTTTTAGCTTTGCTGATGACTCCCTTAATGGGCCATCACCCTCCCCTTTGTGCTCTTTTAATGGTCCATCTCGCCAGGCAATTACTTCACCAGGAAGCCAGTCTGGCTTATATTTTAACATGGCTTACATTTTAACATGCTAAATTCAGCATCTGGCACTCAGAAATTAGAAGGGGAGTCCAGGCACTATAAAGAATTTGTTTTCTGTGGTGTTATTTTGTCATCTCACTCTTTTTGGTATTTGATAACAAAGGAAACATTAGCTGGTCCTGATTTCTGGCTATGTTCTCTAGTCTTGCTTATCTCAGTACTGTACAGTGGTACCTCGGGTTACATACACTTCAGGTTACAGACGCTTCAGGTTACAGACTCCGCTAACCAAGAAATAGTGCTTCAGGTTAAGAACTTTGCTTCAGGATGAGAACAGAAATCGTGCTCTGGTGGCGCGGCAGCAGCAGGAGGCCCCATTAGCTAAAGTGGTGCTTCAGGTTAAGAAGAGTTTCAGGTTAAGAATGGACCTCCGGAACGAATTAAGTACTTAACCTGAGGTACCACTGTATATGGTTCTGGGGAAAACTCCTCTGTGTGCGCACAAAAGATGAACTGCGATATTGACACAGCAGATCACAAAGTGAGCAAGTTGAGTGTCTCTTTTACAGATTATCAAAGATTTCCAGCTGCTAGTGCTGGTGTCTGTGTTAGTGCTGGCGGACATTATCCTGCTCTTGATATGGATGTTCGTGGATCCAGTCCAGTGTCTCCAAAGTCTCCATGCAGATCTGAAGGTAAGATGAGGAGGGAGTGCAGATTGGATGTCTGGACATAAACTGTGAACATGGGTGCATCACTAAGAGAAAGCTGTGCACCCTCCAACTTTTAAATTATGAAAACAAGGAAAACTCTACCCCCATATTATACAGTACTTGGGTGAGGTCAGGTTGGAGCTTAATGATATGGGGTTGGGGGAGCTTTGAGTTTGAAGATAGAGCCAATGCAATCACTGCTGTAAATGTGCTATAAATGAGAATTTAAGGCAGACCTTGAGCAGATAATTCCCCAGGCAAATCTCAGATTATTGAGTTAGTCAAACAGGTAACAAAACACACATGTAACCCATTGCTGTGGAATTTAGCTTGTATAATTAGGTATTTTAGGACACACTTATCTTCTGTTGTTGTTACAGAACAGTGACTATCAGAGAGTAGGGACTACTAGCCAAGCTGCTTAGTAAATCCATGCCAGAGAATTATTACATGCCAACTTCAACAGGCTTTTGTACAGCACTGTTCCCATTTTACAGCTCGGGAATACAGAGGCTGAAAGATTAAAAATGCAGGCTAATTAGTAGAATCATCACACAGAAGGAGCCTAATGACAACCATTCTGTTTTACAAATGGGAAACAAGGAGGCTAAAGAAAGCAGGGGTTGAAGAGGGTGTGATTGTGGTTGCTTTCAAACTGGCTGTTCAATACGCACTCAGCTTGATCAGCTTGTGGAGAGTTTAGATAATGTGCATCAAAGCAGGTGTTATCCGGCTTGGCAGTGCATTTTCCCGTCGCTTTTCTTATCGCAAAATGCATTATCTTTCGGGGAAGCAGGTTTGTTGTGCAAAAGCTCCAAATATGCTTTAATAGTGCAGCCTGAATTTGCCAGGATAGGATTGAATCCCACCTGAAAATAGTGACAATGTAGATGTTGTCAGTGATTGCAGCAAGCAAGCAAGCAAACAAACAATTCCAGCATATCCATGTGAATCCATTATTTATTCCAGGTCTGATAGACATTTCAATTCTGTTGCATCCTGGGCATTTTGCAGCTGGGAAGAAGCCTTTTCTGTTTTGTGTTTCAATTCTGTTCTAGGTGACAGAGAGAGGTTTGACTTGCACAGTGAGCCAAGGCTACTTCTGCACATCAACGTACTCTGATCTTTGGCTTCTTCTCTTTCTGGGATTTAAGGTATGAAATTGGTTCCAGTTTCTCATTGATCATGGCTATTTATTCTTAGAAAATGAACCAGGCAAGGGCAAAGTGTGTGACAAACGCCGTTTCTCATTTGACCCTCATACCCCCACATTTCGCAGACAAACTTTTATAACACTTGTAACTTATTGTCATACCCAGGGCTCTTCCTGAACATTGGCCCCTCTGCTGGTACACATTGTAAAAGCTCTTCTCTAAGTTGTATTATGGATGCGGGTGGTGCTGTGGTCTAAACCACTGAGCCTAGGGCTTGCTGATCAGAAGGTCGGTGGTTCGAATCCCCACGACGGGGTGAGCTCCCGTTGCTCGGTCCCTGCTCCTGCCAACCTAGCAGTTCGAAAGCACACCAGTGCAAGTAGATAAATAGGTACCGCTCTGGCGGGAAGGTAAACGGCTTTTCTGTGCACTATGACTTCCATCATGGTGTTCCGTTGCACCAGAAGCTGTCTAGTCCTGCTGACCACATGACCCGGAAAGCTGCCTGTGGACAAACGCTGGCTCCCTTGGCCTAAAAGCAAGAGGAGCGCTGCAACCCCAGAGTCTACCTTTTTTTTTAACCTATTATTTTATAGCAGGGCTAGTGAACCCTACTGCCTTTCCAGAGGTCTTCCAACTCCCCCTGTTTCCAGCCAGCATGGCCAATGGTCAAGACAAACGGAAGTTGTAGTCCTGCAACATCTAGAGAACCTCAGGTTTCCCATACCTGCCTTGCCCTCTTATTGTATAGGCGCTTCCTTGCCTCTTCTGTATTTAGTGCTTGCTAATTATCTGGTGTGGGACGCGGGTGGCGCTGTGGGTAAAAGCCTCAGCGCCTAGGGCTTGCTGATCGAAAGGTCGGCGGTTCGAATCACCGCAGCGGGGTGCGCTCCCATTGCTCGATCCCAGCGCCTGCCAACCTAGCAGTTCGAAAGCACCCCCGGGTTGCAAGTAGATAAATAGGGACCGCTTACTGGCGGGAAGGTAAACGGCGTTTCCGTGTGCTGCGCTGGCTCGCCAGATGCAGCTTCGTCACGCTGGCCACGTGACCCGGAAGTGTCTCCGGACAGCGCTGGCCCCCGGCCTATGGAGTGAGATGGGCGCACAACCCTAGAGTCTGTCAAGACTGGCCCGTACGGGCAGGGGTACCTTTACCTTTTACCTTAATTATCTGGTAAGGCTGCATGGTTGGAGGGTTCTTGGTGGGTGGCCTAATTCAGACTCTCTCCTTTCCCAACACATTGTTGCTTTCAACTTTCCCTTTAAATCTGCAAGGGAGGAAGAGATTATTGAATGCAATTGCTAGATCATCTTGGCCGAACGAATTTTAGTTTAAATCAACAGTAAAGGTGCTGACCCTGCAACAAATATGTATTTGAATCTGATTAGGTTTCTGCAACATGTTATAGATGGGGCTGCCTCTGAAGACGGTTTGGAAACTTCAGCCGGTGCAGAATTTGGCCACTAGTTTGCTCACCGGGGCAAGATGGCTTGAGCATATAACGCCGATCCTGGCTCAAGTGCACTGGCTGCCAATTAGTTTCTGGGCCCGATTCAAAGTGCTGGTTTTGACCTATAAAGCCTTAAACAATTACCCCCCCCCCACTCCACACAAGTAGTTTAAAAGGCTGTGGATTGTTGAATTAGCCAAAGGAGGAATGTTTTTGCCTGGTGTCTTAAATATAAGTAAAGCAGGAAAGTCTTCCACAAGCACGGAGCCATTGGAGAAAATGTTCTTGAGTCGCCCCCCCCCCTCCATCCCTCTTGTGGGCCCAGGAAGAACAGCCTCACATGGTGATCCCAGGCTCCAGACTGGTTCGTATGGGGAGAGGCGGTATTGCCGGTCTGAGCCCTTGAAGGCTTTATAGATCAAAACCAGCACCTTGAATTGGGCCCAGAAACATTATTTTTGTGTTTTTATATTGTAGACCACCCTGTGATCCTCAGAGGAAGGGTGGTATATACATTTAATAAATACTGTAATGAAAATAATAATAAGGGGCTGGTTAATTGGAAGATGACACCTTACTAAAATACCCACATTCTGCAAAATTCCAGAACTCTTTCTCCTGAATGAACGCTTCTCTAACCAAGTGTTCTTGTTTTGTTTCACCGCAGGGCATCCTCTTGATCTATGGGGCTTACCTTGCTGGCCTGACAGACAATCTCAGCTGTTCACCTGTCAATCAGTCCCTGACCCTCATCATTGGAATAGCCATTATTTTCCTCTCAACGGGTGCTATGCTTGTGGTGAATCGTTTTTTCCACTTGTGGCACAACCTGGTCTTTGGATTTACCTCAGGGGGAATCTTTGTCTGCACATCTACAATCAATTGTTTAATCTTTATTCCACAGGTAAGAAACTGGAGGGGAGGAAGAAGTCACCCAAAACATTGCTAACTGCCCCCTGCCTCCCAGAAAAGCGCAATACGTTTCCCCAAAAATGAGATTTGTAAAGGATAGCTGAGGTGCCGGCAGTGAGCTGGGAATGCGTTACTGAGATAATTTAGCCTCAAATATGTATAAGATAGCACTCATCTGTTTGTTAATCAACCAGTGGATCGAAGCAGCCTGTACTGTATTGCATTGCATTGTATTGTATTGTATTGTATTGTATGTAGCCAACTTTAGGGAATCTTCTGGATTGATAGGCAGGGTAGAAGTTAAATATATACAGTGGTACCTCAGTTTTTGAACATCTCTGTTGACAAACATTTCGGTTTTCGAATGTCATAAGCCCGGAAGTAAATGCTTTGGTTTTTGAACACGCCTCAGAAGTCAAACATGCCACGCAGCTTCCGCTGAGTGCATGATCCTGAGGCCTAGCTGTCAGCTATTGAGTTTTTGGTTTTTGAACGTTTCAGAACTCGAACGGTCTTCCAGAATGGATTACGTTCGGAAACTGAGGTATCACTGTACTGGAAGTCCGTTCCAAAACCAAAGCGTTCCAAAATCAAGGCGTGCTTTCCCATACATTAATCTGTTCCAGGCTTTTAAAAACAACCCCTAAAGCAGCAATTTAACATGAATTTTACTATCTAACGAGACCATTGATCCATAAAATGAAAGCAATAAACAATGTACTACAATCATACAATCAATCAATCAATCAATCAATCAATCGCTGAACTAGGTTCCACACAGTCACAAAAACAAAAAAAGCACAAAAATGCAAAATAAATAGCAAAAACAGGTAGACCTCAGCATAACACTCAAAATGGAAGGCTGGCACTAAAAATGGAGCATGTTCAGCTTCTGAAAAAAGTTCGCAAACCAGAACACTTATTTCCAAGTTTGCAGTGTTTGGGTTCCAAGTTGTCCAACTTCTAAGCCATTTGAGAACCAAGGTACCACTGTATAGGATAAGAAACTTATCTGCATGAGCAATGCCTTTTCATATTAGGAACAAAACGAGAAAAAGGTTCAAATATGGCATTAGCTTCAGGACTGTGTTGTGTTTACAGACAGAGGCCTAAGCCTATAATGCAGCTTCAGGGATAAATGTTTTTGTTTTCTTAATTCTCACTTGTTTTTTCCTCTTTCCATCTTCGTCATCTTTCAGTTTTCCTCTAATACAATTAATTCATAGGTCTACAATATACTTTCATGTTCAGCAGGTCAGAAAATGGAAGGCTTTTGAGAAACAGAAAGATGACGTCAACAATATGGCCAAGTATTTTAGCAGCTCAAGCAAGAACTTCCACTCCACCATGTACAGTGATGAAGAGATCTACCAGCTGCTGGGGGAAAAGGATTCCATGATGAAGCAGCTGGTAGAGGTAAGAAACTTCCACTCAGTTGCGGCGGCAAACAGTTGCTAGCAGATAACAACACCTTGTTGAGGGGATTTTTACTGGCTGCCAGTTTGCTACCAAGCCAAGTTCAAGGTTTTTTGGTACGAAAATATCACTCACTCAATCAATCTCCTTTATTGGCTTAAGAAAAGTGCATCGTATACATGGATCAGAACACAGCACAGTTAAGGAAACATAGTAGGAGATACGGATAAGATCACTTTCAAAAGTAAGATGTTTGTTAGAGATGATGCGCAGCTAAGAAACTTGCTGCTTAGACATTGCGTTTGGTTCTGAGGATTCAGAACTTGTTCCTCCTCCAAAATGGTTCCCTTTGGCTACAAGGAAATTCTTAGATAAAATGTCTAGATGTAGACGAAAAGTAGACCGTGTACGAATTCAAGAACAAAGAACTTGCCCTGTTTGTGAGCTTTCCTGGAGGTGTTCAGTTCACGAATGTTGGATTGACAGGCAGGTAGTTTGATTCAGTGGAGCACTTTCTATGAGAGAATATCCTTTGCTTTAAATGAAGAGACACTCACAACATTCTGTCAGAAAACTAGCCTATCTTTGAGAAGAAACCATAAATGAATATCGCAGATGCTGTGTGTGTCTGAACCCACGTGCGTGTCCAACACTTTTGTGCATTCCTACACACGACTAAGAGGTTTCGAATGTGCAACCGTTATGAATATGTGCTTACCCTTAACTTTATGCCCCAAGAAGTTTGTCCACCCAATGAAGTAAGGCGGGTGGCAAAATGCAAAGCTTATTTATTTAATTATATATTTATAATCCACACTTCTAAGGTATACAACTCATCAGAATAAAATCAGCAAAAAGCAACAACATAAAACCATCATTTAAAACATCAGTAAGTACTGATTGGTTAAAATGAAGAAAGGGGGGGATGATTCCTCTAGAAGCTCTGCTGGTAGGGAGTTTCACAGGGCAGGACCGGCCACAGTACAGGCCTGGTCCCTTGTGAAGCTCAGACTGGGGGGAACCACCCAGAGTGTCCCATCAGAGGACCTCAGTGATCCAGGTGGAGCATAAGGAATCAGAGGGTCCTTCATGTTCTCCTCCATGGTTGCAGCCCATCTATAGAACCATTGTTCTTTATTTGTTGTTAGGTTGTGAGTGGGAGAGTCATTGTTTTGTTTTCCTTCTTTTTTTTAAATTATGTATTGTGTTTTATCTTGTATTCTTATGCCGTGAACTGGATTTCATAAATACATAAATAATTTTTTTATTGCCAGACAACCACTTCCAGGCTTTTAGGATCTAATGAGATTTCAGTATTGAGTTGGATATTCTGGTTTTATGTTGCTTATTTTTTATGTCTATGTGCTTGTAACTTGTACAGTCGTACCTTGGATCCCGAACGCCTTGGTACTCGTCTGTTTTGGCTCCCGAATGCAGCAAACCCGGAAGTGAGTGTTCTGGTTTGCAAACGTTCTTTGGAAGCCAAACGTCCAACGCAGCTTCTGCAGCTTCCAATTGAGTGCAGGAAATCCTACAGCCAATCGGAGTCCATGCCTTGGTTGTTGAACGTTTCTGGAAGTCGAATGGACTTCCAGAACAGATTCTGTTCGACAACCAAGGTACGACTGTACTTGTAATCGGCATAGATAATTTACTTTGGAAGTATATGTTAAATAACTGCATATCTATTCATTCTTTCTGAATTATTCTACTTCAATTCTTCTGTATGGGTAATTAGGCCTAACTTCTGTTTGTTACCTGCACACCCTCGCTTTTCTGACAAATTTTACCTTGGTTTATTCAATATAGAAAGATACAGCAATTGCAACTCTTCAAGAGCAAGTGAATAATGCTAAGAAGAAGCTGATGAGACTTGTGACTGCGGAGGAAAAATACAATGCGATTGACTCTCCGTTTCCTTCTTCTTACTCTGCAGCCAGTTGTTCTTATGCAGCAGTTGAAAACCCAATGAGTTCTCCTTTTTCACCTGGTCAGGGGCTAAACTCAAGGCAGCTCTCCCCATTCACAGTGCAAACCAGGATTGCTTAGCAAAAAAGATTCCACTGATGATCTGGAACGCACAAATCAACACCAGCAGAAAATACTGCCAGAAATTGCTGTTGGGTACAGACCTCTGAATGGATGCAAGAATGTCGCTGGTCATTCAAGTGACCAAGATCAATGGTTCACCCAATATACCACCACACTTAGTATGGGCACCCCGCAGGACCCACTCGGGAAGAGTTGTTCCACACCGAGGGAGGAAGCAAAGCCGCCATGTATGCCTCAGAGGCAGCTTCCAGGGATCAGCTATGTGAGCAGTGAAAAGCTTCAGGAAATATTGCAAGAGCTAAGTATGAACCACGTTGCTGTTGCCCAGACGTCTCCCAGGGGACCCGAGCCAAGTGTCGATTGCAACATGTGCACATTGTGGGAGCCAGAGGAGAGCCAGGCAGAAGAGTCTATGAAGCTTAGTCCTTGTAAGTCAAGACAGGGGAGGAAAACCCCCAGCTCCACGGCTCCTGATACTTGGCATATTGTGGACAAGGCAACCAGCAGAAGGCAAAGACGTTTCAGTGGATTAACAGAATTTCATCAGGCTGCAGCAGGAGACACGGAGGACAGATGTTCCCTGCATCAGCCACCCTCTTTGTCATCACCAGTGGTTAAGAAAAGGCTGAACTACCAGGCTGAAAACTGGTCCAAGCATTCAAGCAACGATGGGTGTGGCTGGCTGTTAGACAAGTGCCAAGGGAAGAATGGCGTGTCCACTCTTTATCTTAGCAGATCCAGGAATCTCCGTCATCATCAGAATTTTCCTGACTCACACCGTGCTCGGCCCTGTCCCTTCTCAGTGCTTTTATCCTGATTCTGATTCTGGCAGCAGTTCCTCTGGGAGGGTGACCCATTGCGACCGCAGGCAGCGCTGTGAAGTTTGCCACGACTGCCTGTCTTCCTCTAGTGATAGCTGCATCACTGATACAGATCATGAGCTCAGTGTGGCCCTGGACTACTGTGCAAAGCTTTATGGCAAGCGTCAACCAGTTGTGAACTTCATTGAGGATTTGGAGCCCACCTATGTGTAGGGGTTGTCAAGTCAAGAGCGCCCCCCCTCAGACCCTGCTATTTCAGGGTGGAAACCTGAGACCTAGGGGTGGCCCCTGGTGGTATCCTGGTGTGCAGGCCTCCCTCTGCTACCTTGAGGGGGGCAGACAAACCTTGAGACCAGGTCAGCCGTGGAGGTCTGGCAGGGAGGGCCGTGGATTGCCGGGGGGGGGGAGGGTGTGGTCCCAGGTGCCTTTTTTGGAGGGGATTTCAGAAGCTGCCTCCCAACAAGCTCTCTCATCGAGGCAGAGACTTCTGCAGCCAAGCTGGTGCCAAAGGTCTTGCTCTGTTTTCCTTTGGACCACATCAGCGAGACCAAGGTGTGCGTGCGCTCTTGCCATCTGGGCAGCCCGGAACCTCCAGACACACTGCCCAGACTTGCGCCCCAGAAAGAAGCGGAGTTGTCCTTTTTTTTAAAAAAAGGACTTTAAAAATGGTTGTCTGTGTTGCCATCTAGTGGCAATAAATCAAGAGAAACAGCTTTGTATGAAAATGGAAGGCAATTGTGGGCATAATTGTGGGCTTACTGAACTTGAATCCATGCCTATCCAAATACAGTGGTACCTCGGGTTACATACGCTTCAGGTTACATAAGCTTCAGGTTACAGACTCCGCTAACCCAGAAATAGTGCTTCAGGTTGAGAACTTTGCTTCAGGATGAGAACAGAAATCGTGCTCCGGCGGCGCGGCGGCAGCAGGAGGCCCCTTTGCTAAAGTGGTGCTTCAGGTTAAGAACAGTTTCAGGTTAAGAACGGACCTCCGGAATGAATTAAGTACTTAACCCGAGGTATCACTGTACAGTTTTCTGTGTGGCATTTTATTAACCATGTTACATAAGAAAACTTGCTGGATAGGTACATCCTACGGCCCTGCTATGTCACTGGCTAATGTGGAGGAACTAACACTGACATAATGTAGCTGTGATCCTAACTGCAGTGTTTATTGGAGAGCATCATTTGAGAAGCAAGCTCTGACAGCAACATGGAGGGATGGGGCTGCCAACTTTTCATTTTTGTAGATCCCCTGAAGTAACACAACTCTCCCAATCAGCCACATGCCAGGGGTGGGCAGCACAAGGTGCCAACCTGGAATAAAATATTTGGGGAGGCCGGGTACACCACACACACACATCACATGGTGCAAAGCACACACACACCATTTGAAAGGCAATGTCCATCAACTGGGGGGGCAGCCCCCTTAAATATTTTATTGGGGGTGCCAAAGGGCCTCAGCCCCTAGGAAGTTGGCTGCTATGTGGCGGCAGCTGTTATGTTTGTCTACAAAGCACTCTGGAAACCCCAGGAGCCCCGTAAGGGTCGACTAAGTGGCAGCCTTCAGATAGGTTTCCAAATGGTCGTTGCTGGTATAGATCTTGCTTGACTTACACATCACTGAGAGTAAAGAACAGATTCTGTCTCTAGTGACTGACCTGTTTCGTGTGCCTTGGCTTTGATCTTGCAATTAAAAATATGAGTCATGAGGTAACAGGTTGAGTTGAGCTCTCCATGTTTACCAACAAAAGTAGCTTGGCTCCTCATTCCTTTCATTAGTACATGATGATATTTTTTTCCAAATGAGAACCTCCTGATCTGTCTGCAGCAACTTGGGGGAAGCTAGCCAGGTCTATAACTTTGGAACAATCTAGTGAAGAGGCTCCTTCCATAAGTGGAGCCCCAGCTATTGAAGCATCTCAGTCCCAGTGATGAAGCAGCGAGCCAAGGTAGCAGGCATCTGAGTGACCAGAAGGTAAACACAATTAATTCATTCATTAAATGCATAACATTAAACTAAAGTAAGGGCACTGTGGGTTAGGAACTAAATCCTGCAAACTTATAATACATGAGCTAAATTCTAGGGGTGATAAGCCTGCAGAACCATTTTTTTTTAGCTCTACCTTAGCAGGGAGGTCTTTGAGGGGCTACTGCAAACCAGAAACCTAGATTAAATTCTAGTTTTGGAGACCAAAAAAAGCAAATCAGTGCTCCTGATTCTTCCTTTGCAGCCGTGGCTTGAACTTTTTTTGCACCTGCTGCAATATATAGGACACGGGGTGTAGAACATGTGGGTGTGGCTTGCCCAAAATAGGTCAGTTGGCCAGCCTCAGAGTCCTGACAGGCCACCAGTGCGTAGGCAATTGCACACCACTGCCATAGATCTTTGGGTTTTCTACACACCAGCTGTTAAGTTCCTCACTTAACAGTATCAACTCACTTTTTGTGGGTCTGTATACTTTTGAAGGAGCATCTATCAGGAACAAACTTTCTTTTCCAAATAGGGGCTGGAAAAGACTGAAGCTGTCCTGATTCAAGAGTGTGTGTGCTCTGCTGGAAACTGCTGATATATGTTAGGGGCAGTGCTTGACCACCTTTTCCAGATCTTCCAGATACGGCCACCTTACTTAACTATTGAATTGAATCAAATTTTCTTCTGGGAAATCCTAGGTTGTGTGTCATGTAATTCCATCAGAAATTTCTGAGGAGAGACAACCACTTACATGCCTCACAAAATACAGCTATCCTCTATCCTTAATTCGATATGTCTGGTCTAAAAAAGCCCAAGATCTCCTACGAAGCAATGCATTACCCTAGACAGGAGAAATTCCTGCTCTGCACATCTTATTTTGGAAGCATTTACTGGGGTATGTTCCAGATGTTCCAATGTCTGAGACTGGTAGATCATTCAGCATTCCCATGCTGACAGCCCAGTTGGTAAACGATCTTGTAAGCTGCTAAAGCCGAATGCTGTAGCTGAGTTGCTATCATGGTTTTCAGTGCATTCGTTTCCTTAAAATAATAGTCAAACTAAAGGTTCTGTTACAATGGTGAAATGTTTTCCATAGATACTGGTGACATTTCAGTGTCTAGACTCTCTTTTCCCATCTAATAGCCCTGTTCTGGTTTATTTAAAGGTAAAGGGACCCCTGACCATTAGGTCCAGTTGTGACCGACTCTGGGGTTGCGATGCTCATCTCGCTTTATTGGCCGAGGGAGCTGGCATACAGCTTCCGGGTCATTGCTTGCTTGCTTGCTTGCTGCAATCACTGGCAACATCTATAAAGGTAAAGGGACCCCTGACCATTAGGTCCAGTTGTGGCCGACTCTGGGGTTGCGGCGCTCATCTCGCTTTATTGGCCAAGGGAGCCGGCGTACAGCTTCCGGGTCATGTGGCCAGCATAACTAAGCCACTTCTGGCGAACCAGAGCAGCGCACGGAAATGCTGTTTATCTACTTGCACTTTGACGTGCTTTCGAACTGCTAGGTTGGCAGGAGCTGGGACCAAACAATGGGAGCTCACCCCGTCGCGGGGATTCGAACCGCCGACCTTCTGATCGGCAAGTCCTAGGCTCTGTGGTTTAACCCACAGCGCCACCCGTGTCCCTATTTCTGGTTTATTTAGTGCATTACAAATCCTCCTTGGAATTCATGTTACGTGACAGGCCGTCTTCCATAGGATGAACCACGGAAAGGCTGCTTCTTGCCTGTCTCCCAGGTGCCACAAAACTCATTTTCTTAGCAGGTGTTACAAAGGTTCCAAGAGTGCTGAAAACTTTGGAAGGAACCAATGCTGCTGATTCAATATCCCTAGATGTACCCAAGGTTCTGACAGGTTTTGTGAAAAACGGCAACTATTCAATACCTGGGAAACGTCCAGTTTGCTACATTGTTGGTATCCTCTCAACATTACTAGCGAGTCCTCCATTCATGGAGCTATAGGTAAAGGACCCCTGGACAGTTAAGTCCAGTCAAAGGAGACTATGGGGTTGTGGCGCTCATCTCGCTCTCAGGCCAAGAGAGCTGGCGTTAGTCCACAGACAGCTTTCCAGGTCATGTGGCTGGCATGACTGAACCACTTCTGGCGCAACGGGACACCATGACGGAAGCCAGAGCGCACGGAAACGCCAATTACCTTCCATTCGTGGAATGGGGCAGCTGAGCAATTGCGACTTTATAGTCCTCACAGTTCCATCAAGTTGAGCTGGGGGTTGTATAGGTGTTGCCCATTCAGAAAACTCCAGGGAAGATTATGCCTTCTTCTTCCAGTCTCTTCTGATCACTTTCGATCATCCCTCAGAAGGCATATGGAACGACCCTGGATTTAAA